GTGATCTACATGATTAATTGCTCAGCCTTAAAACACAGTGATTGTACTGTCAGTCAGCACATCCTGTCTCTCTTTCAAACCACCCCCTCCTCCCTCCCTATCATTTCTCTCTCTTTCTCCCTTGCTCATTTAGAGACTGAAACTAGGCTAATCGGGTAATGTGACAGTTTGAACTTGATGTTTCACTAATCAAGGCCAACAGCTAAACAAGCCATCTTTTAGACAAAATTAATTTAAAAAAAAAAAGTACACCACATCTAGACCGATTTAAGAACAGTGTACCAATACTTTTTGATCCAGAGTAAACAGTATACCCAACTCAAGACAAACAGTGGATGCAGTAAGAAGGGTGAACAGAAGTCAGTATATACTTAGTGGAGTTAACTAAATATAATTAATTTAAAATGACTGTCTTTAAATGTTCTAAACACTTGTAGAGCAGTAACACAGTCTGGTGTCCAAAGTATGTGATGCACAGTATCTTTGCATGGTTTGTGAGGCCCCCGCTGCCCTAGTATCATACATATCCTCTTGAAAGGCCAAATAATAAACCACTCATCAACAACAACCAATTAATTCACCTAAAAGAGCTCACTATCCTGCAATGTATGTAATGTGGGCAGCCCTTGAATGAGCCTCCTCACAAAGTTAAGAGGACACCAAGGTCTAACTAGATGTTAAGCCAACATAGTAGCACTCACCAGAATGCTACTGTGTGTGTGTGTAGCTTTTACGTAAAACTATATCTTTACCATGACCCTGCAGTTCTGAGAAGCCTGAGTGTAGCCACTTAAAATAGCCCTGATAGGAACCTGATGACAGCCGCTGTCTTTACAGAACCCTGGCAGGCCTGCAGCATTCACGCACGCACACACACACAAACACACACACACACACACACACAGAAACAAGCAGCCTTGCAATGCAACGCTAAAATATATACATGAATCCATGATGATAAAATGCTTTAAATGTGCACAAGTAACAAAAGTATGAAGTGTGAAGCTGCTAGCAAGCAGAGACACACACACACACACACACACACACACACACACACACACACACACACACACACACACACACACACACACACACACACACACACACCTCTCCCTACTTATCCAACTCATAGGCTTATTCCAGTGACTGAGAAGGCAGCCATGTGATCGTCCCACAAACATGACAGCCTGAGATTGATGAAAGCCTCACATGACACACTGGGTTCTGAAAGTACGCAGTGGAGGAAGGACACCATGCCAGTCAGGAACCTGAGACACTACTTCTGTAAACTACCAAGGAAAAAAAGCATCCCTATAAATAAATTCATCTGATGGTGTAAAATTTAGTTCTGCAATCTTGGCCATCATGCATTTTCACAGGTGGAAAACGATAATTGGACTCTATATTATATTTTAAATTTCACAAAAATTATTACTTTTATGTCAGACTGATGCACATTTGAAATGCACATTAGTCTGTGCACCTACAAAAATAACCAAGTAAACACTATAAGCTGGCTTATCAAAAGGCTTCATCTTCATTGTTTCTCATTAAGAAAGATTGTGGTCTTTTTCAAAGAAAGTACATTAAATAGCAAAGTTAAATGTTTTCCTAATAACATTATGGGTGAAATATTCAGTACCACTTGACTACCATCAGTATCACTTCATTCATATAAGACTTCAGAAAAATACTTTGCTTTCGGACATCACTTTACCCCTTTTAAACACCTCTGATTCAGGTTTTGAGGTGTTATGAAATGAAACAAAATGACTGCGTACACTCATCCTATCCTCTACCTTGTGTACACACACTCCCTCATTTTTGTATCACAGAACAAACACAGTTATATTGAGCTCTACAGCCCAGGTCAAAAAGGAAGTTTCCTCAGCAGGCAGCAGTGGCAAGGGGCAGCCAGAACAAGCAGTCTGAGCGTGGGTGAGGACAAAGCTATTGGCTGGTGATCAGTCCTCTGACTGGCTAAAGGATGAGCCAGGAGCTCTCAGTGTAATGTACAGTATGCTGTCCCTGGTCAGGTGCTACAGCCAGGGAAACAGGAGAGGCTCTTTAGGCTTTCCCCACAGGGTCAGCCAACCTGCTGCCCTCTGTGGTATTCTGGAGGGCACAGCGCTGGGCTGTGACAGAGCTTAGGGTGATGCATTATGCAGGATAACCAGGTTGCAAAACAGCAAAATATACATATGTTTTACTTTCTATTACTTTTGCTTAGTAAGATAGTAAGATCACAGACAGTTTAATTCAGTACTGCATAATACTCTACCCTTACTTACAAACATCTCGAGTGTGATAATGTGATATGCTCTCCCAGCTCAGAGGCTACAGAGTATCAAAAACAATAGAGTCAGTGGGACAGACTACATAAAGACACAGTTTTTGTGTTTTCTTTCTTTCTTTCTTTCTTTTTACCTTCATGTGGGTATTTGCCTGTGACAGACCGGTGTTGGGCTGAAATGTTGCTATTAAAAGATTAAGGGGGAGTTCTGATTCCAGTGTGCAGGTAATTTTCTATTATTTCTTTCGGGCCAGCATTACTCTACGACAACCTGCAGAGGTGTTGTTGTGACTGTCTTCCAAGTATTAGCTGAAAGGGATTGCAACAAACCAGCTTGATTTATAATATCTGCCCTCTTACAAAAGCATTCCTGAGTGCAAACAAATAACATTAATTATTAGCTGAGGCTCAGAGTATTGTGATCGTCCTAATCTCCACAGTCCACCTCTGTCAGTCGTAAGGTGTAGACCTTATCCTCTCCTCTACCCATCCTCTAAGTTGCTCACTTCCTGACCATCCAAACTCTCCCATATTTACATTATTTTCTCCTCTCCCATCATCCTGTAATCCTCTTCCAATTCTTTTCCTCTAACTGGATCCACTCAGCCTCTCTCATCCTCCACTTTAAACCATCTATCGGATGCTCTCTTCTTCTCTTTTAAACGCTTATTCACCAACTTCTCTCATTCTCAATCCTAAATTAACTAACTTAAAATATGTGTGCTAGCCTATTTCTGCTCCCAGCAAGTGTCCTCTCCATCACAGCTGACCACTGAGTTAACAGAAACGCCTGCTGCCTGCCTGTTTGCTCTAGGATTCAAGCCAGCCAGCCAGCCAGCCAGCCAGCCAGCCAGCCAGCCAGCCAGCCACACACACACACACACACACACACACACACACACACACACACAGCATCTATATCACTGGGTGCAGGGCACCTTTATGGCCGTCGAACGTGCTCTGGCACAGACATGAGCCAAAGTGCAAGTAGCACTACAAGGAGGTGAGCTTTCAGGTGTGTGTGTGTATATATATATATATATATACACACACACACACACACACACACACACACACACTACGGGTGACAGGTCCAGAGCAAGATTTTCCAATGCAAGTGTATTTAAAACTAAAAAGAGCACTTTCCCCTTGGTAGCAGACCTGACCCTGACCCAGAATGTGTGCAAGAACATACACAGGGAAACTGCAAATCAACTCAGGGAGTATAGAGTATCCTACTAGCCAGCTCAATGATGCATTGCTCAGTCAGGTTGAATTTAACCCTAGGGTATTTCAATAACAAGCACTTTTATTGCTTCTAGTGACACTGTGTCATGCTTTGGCTACATGGATGTACTTCCAAAGCTCACTCAAAAACAATTTAAGACATTTTTTCACATAAAATACTTACTGAAAACATTGACTCCATTTTAAAACAAGCAGCACCCTCTGCTATGAATGACCCGTTATCATGGCAAGCATGTCATTATTCTGCAAAAGCTGCTTTGCATCATATCACTGTTACTGGAGTGATAATCAAAATTTCACGTGATGTAACAACATGATGCATTTTGTACAAACAGACACATACGTTTGAGACTGTCTTACAGTGTGTTAGATCCACTAAAGCTGTTTAGTGGAAACCAGTGCAGTGTTAAGTAAAAAAATCAGGACATACTATCTTGCACTTCTTCTAAGCATTACTGATGTTGACTAGCTTTATATGGTTATATATGTCTGTTAACACGAATGCAGTGTTCAGTTCTAAATCGGGACACATTATCTTTCGTTTGTGGAGGGCATAAATTGGACACGATGGTATTTCAATAAAACAAAAGCATCTGTATATTTCACTTTTAACACAAGCGATTATTGATTTTTTTTTTTTTTTAAAGCATTGTGCATGCCCAATCTAGTCTGTCTAAGGAGCCTGAAGCCCTGTTTGTCGTGGATCTTGTCTGTCATCAGTGGCCGACTGAAGTGATCACATGTGCACCAGCACAGAGCACACAGTGTCCTCCCGCTCTGCTGTCTGACGGCACTGGCACAGAGTACAGTACCGTCGGCATGACTGAGAGAAGCCACTTGTACTTTGCTCCAAGTTATCTGGGCTATAGCTCATGATAAGCGACAAAAGAGCGTGGCTGTACTGTCACGGATGCCTCGTTGTTTTCTTTCTACCATGCCGGGTTAGCTGATGTTATCAAAGAAACACAAAGGGGGACACGGGGGAGACAAAGGAGAAAACACGACACTGCCTCTGCAACTTCTAAACGATGACACCGATTAACTGGTTAAGGAGAGGAGGAAGTGTTTATTATCAACTTATTATCAGTTTATTAGCAACAGCACACCAGCATCAATACTTGTGTAAACGAGCAAAAAAGTGCTAGCTAATGAGGTAAGCCGAATCCCACTAAGAGACAGCGTGTTGCAGCAGCCCTGCTAGCGTCTGGTAGCTAGCATTAGCATGTTAGCTAACCTCACCAACAGGCACAACACGTCTCCCTGCACTTTGCTACGTTCATGCCAAAATGAACAAAAACTACACAACGTCAATGTATAAAAGTGCCTCCAAGTTCACCATATTCACCACACCAAAACTCATGCGCTCCAGACATCATAGCGAAAGTCATATATAACATTAACGCACACACGTACAACGTTACACACAAACCACAAACATACACACACATTACACAGCTACCTGAAAGCTGGGTCCTCTTTGCTACATCTCGGGGGCGGCGACGAAAACGCATTTCTCTTGTTGAAAAGTTTCTGGAAGAGAGTCGGAGGCATTTTGTACCAAAATAAATTCGGTACAGAAGGTCTCTTTTCTTTTCAAATCCAAGAGCAAATCTTGTTCCTTGTAACTGTCTCCATGGATGTCACAGTCATATGACAGGCATTAGTCACAGGAGCCGCTTGGTAACCCACTACATTTTTCTGATTGGCTGACCAGAGGCTGCTGCTACTACAAAATACCTGATTGGCTGGTATTTTTGGCCCAGTACCACGTGGTAAGTGGATTCGCTGTGTTGATGTTTTGTCGGGAATCGTGACAGCATGAAATTTATTCACAGAAAATTATACAAGTGCGATTGATGAGCTGCTTGCAAGACACTGTCAATCTACGAAAGATCAACATGAGAAAAGTTAGGTGCAAAAAACATGCTTGTGTTATGACAAACACAGAGAGGTATGCAACAAAACTTATTAAAGCATGTACATCTTTTAATTTTATACATTTACACAATCACACGTGTACATTTTCAAAAAGACAAATGACTTACAAATACAGAATATCACACACAAAGACATATAAACATACATTTTAACTTTACAATGAGCTTACGTTAAACATTTAGATAAAGTTCTTATAGCATGGACACATACTTCCAAAAGAATCAATGAAAATGCAGAGATAAAGATCACAAACGACATATATATATATATATATTCTCACACATAAAACTAAAAACAATCACTGCCAGGACAAGAAAAAAAGGATGGTTATTTAATAGAATACAGGTCTGACATCTAGTGGTTACATTGCACCACACACTCTTTGATAACAAATGCAAAATAAATAAAAACGGAAATGGGTGGGTAGTTAGGCTGTGTGTGTGTGTGTGTGTGTGTGTGTGTGTGTGTGATGATGGGGGTTGGGGTTCAGTTCTTACAGCATGTGAAAAAAGTACATTGTCATAAGCATATATTTAAAGGACTAATTATGTTATATGGCTCACTAACAGCTAAGCACATGGGACCACAGATTGTATGGGATAGAAATAAGGGCCAGGTAGAGAAGTAAGGGAAGGTCAATTAGATCATGTTCACAAGTTTTATGGTGAGCAGACACACATTTAAAAGCGAGACTGTGGTGTCCATTTGAATTATTCTTTTCAAATAACACATTTAAATACTGATGAAATCATTTCACAGACTCGTGCACCTGTTTCGAAGTACACATAGATTACTCTTTTACAGGATATTTCACATCCAGACCTCACTGACACTGATGATGAGAGAATCCACAGGCCACATGTCTACAAACAATATTTTGGCTTCAAATGTCACAGAACAGAAGCTTATGCGAGCTTAGCAGCTGAGAGGAAATAAAGGGGTGCTTCTGAGTTTGACACACCTTTCTCTCATCCTCTGAAAGAACATTTCCCTGTCACTATCACTGACAAAGTCAAAAAACTTGGCATTCTCTGGGCTACTTTTTACAGGCCTTTTTAGCATCACCATCAGATGTTGTGTGACATCTTTGAAATGTATCTCACCCGCCTTGGATGTCTCTGCATCAGGCTTCATCTGCTCGGCCAGAGTGGATGTTCCGACTGACTCACTGGCGTTGTGAGCGGTTAATTTGGTGTCTCGGCTGTGTTTTACTTCAAAGGCCTCAGCAATGATGGGGGTTTTGAATGATACCTTCTTCTTGCACAGTATAGATCTTTTGCTGGTGATCTGGGGGAGAAAAAATATATTTGTCAATGACTACCTTTGATTTACACAAAAATAAAATACATAGACATCATATTTTAGATTACCTGTAAAAGACAGCTAGGTGGCTTTCCTGATTTTGCTGTGGTTTTGCAATTGAATGCTTGTGCCTGATTGTCTACAGATTGAGGATTAAAAGACAAAAACTTATGATTTACATTAATTATGATTATTTTATTTTATATGCTAGAAAGAAACGCTTGGTAATGTATGATTCACATTAAGTTTTGGTTCTGAGCATACTGTATGCATCTCATGAAATAAGACTCGATACCTGGTTGGAATGAGTCTGTTTGTACGCTAGTCTCAGCTTCAGGTCCTCTGTGCTTGCTTCAAAGTGAAAAGACAGTTATTGAATGAGTTTTGATCATGTAAATCAGTGTCCCACACTAAACCTGTAAAGTAACAACACAGCAAATGTTGCATGTTAAGTTGCTTTTGCCAGAAGAAATTCAGCTGACAAACTCACCTGATGTTACAGTTCTTTTCAGCAAGAGTTGTGGAGGCACCTGAAGATAAGAGGTTTAATTCTTATCAGACAATTATTGAACGCCCGGACATCAAATTAGATCACAGTTTTCAGTTTTCCGTTGCCAGAACAATCTTTATACCTTATATCACACCTAATCATTATTGAATGGGATCTAAGTATCCTAAGAAATGAAATTTCAAATTTCTTACTAAACAACAAGAAACATGTATGGGATTTTCTCACACTTACCAATGATGGTAGAAAGGTCAGGGGGATGATGCATGTGGATGGTCTCAGCATGGCTCACATCCAGCAAAGTGGAGTTTTTTATGTTAAGATGGAGACCCAGCAGTTCCTCCTTCATGGAGAAAGCCAATGTTTGCACTGTGAAGACAAAAATAGACAAGACGCACCATTACAACAGAATAACCTTGTAATTTGGTTGTGGATCTATAAAAGTGTACACACACCATAGTTCTCTTTTCTGAAGATCTCCGGTGAAGGTAAGCTGCTTGAAGATGAAGAGGCAGAGGAGTAACAGTCTTCCTCATCATCATCAAAGTTGAAAGTTGTGTCTGTCTCCATGCTAGAAAATGTGATGCTTTTGGGAGTCACTGCCAAGTTTTGCTCTTCGTATTCAACTGGCATTTCACAACCTTTAAAAGCCTCAGGGTCAGGAGTCATCTGAACAGTTGGGTGCCACGCTGGTGACACTTGGTAGCCAGATTTTTTATCAGCTGGAGTGGCAGCCGAGATAGCTGTGTGTCTGGGGTTTTCAGTGTATGCAGGGCTGGTCAAGTGTAATACAGATTTGCATTCAGGCTTAGTGCTTGTCTGTGTTTGTAGAAGATAAGCATGGAAAAGGAGGAGACAGTAAAACATAAACAAAGTTTGAAAAACCTTGACAAACAACCTGGAAGTTAAAATCTAGTATCTCAGAAAGGATCTGTTATTCACATACATGCTAAAATATAATGGCTGAATTTAGTGTTTGGCTACATTAATCCTGCCTAGCCTCAGATTGTACCCTTATCAAAGCTGCATTATCAACTAGGAAACGCAGGTAACTGCCCAGGAGACCCCTAAAATCCCCATGCCAACTCTATCATCTGTTTTTTTCTGTGTCAAGAAATTAACACACAGAGAAAACCTCAGGTCATGTGGTATTATTCAATCATAGGGGAACTGTAAGTCTCCAAGCAACAATTATTTTCATTATCAATAACTCAATTATTTATTGTTCAATGTATAAAATGTCAACAAATAGTGAACAAATGCCCTCATTATTCCCTGCAGCCCAAGTTAACCTATTGAGGCTGCTTTTGCTGTCCAAGAACCAGTCAAAATACAAAGATGTTTAATTTACAATCAAAGAAAACTGGGAAACTAACACATCTTAACATTTGCTAAGCTGGTGGCATTTTTGCATAAAAGTAATTTAAAACATTAAATTTTCAAACTTGTTGCCAATTAATTGTATGTCAATCGACTAATCAATTAATCAACAAATCTTTTAAACTTATAAGTACTTGTTGGTTCGTGGGTGCCTGGGTAAATGATGAAACGAGTTTGTAAATATCGACACATGGAGTAAAACCGGAAAGAGCACACTCACCCACACCGGACTGCGTGGTTTGACAGTGGGGATCATCTCCTCCACTTCAGGTTCCTCTGGAAGTGTCGCATAATGCTTGTTGGGCAGAGGCCTCCTGTGCTCTGAGTGTTAAAGCAGGGTTGTAGAGAATATAGATACAGCAAATGACTTTTCCTGTACTTTACAGGACATTGCTTGATGAGTCCTCTTAAAGCACTGGCTTTCCTTGAAGTAGGTTTAGTTTGAATAGATTTTTTTTTTTAAATTAAAAAAAAACAAACAAACGAAGGCTGAAAAACAAGCAATGTCAATCATACATTTTATGATTAGGCATCTGTATAGAGGCTCAAATCAAAATCTAAGGTGTAAACCGTGGGCTTATGAAATAGTAATATATTTCCCTCATTACAGTGGGCATTAACACGTGTGTGTGTGTGTGTGTGTGTGTGTGTGTGTGTGTGTGTGTGTGTGTGTGTTTGGGTGTTTATTTCTTACTGTATTGTCTGCTCAGCGCTGGTTTCGCGGGTGTACCTCGCCTCGTAGCAAATCCACTGTCACGACTGACTGGCCACTTCGTCCGTCCCATTATCGCAAAAAAAAAAAAAAACAAGATTTCCAGACTCTCCAGCAGACTGATAAACTTAACTAAATTGGTTTTGTTCAAAAAATGTGCCAGTCAAACGTTAGAATCTAAATATTTTGTAAAGACTGAAATTTAAAGTAACGGAAAAACTCGTGACGAGACGCTAAAATTAGCGTTACCTTGTTGTCTCCGGTGTCTGTGCGGTTCTTAGCAACCAAGCACACCTGCACACTCAATCTGTCAATCAACGGCTGGTGGCGTCTTTAATCCCTGTATGTCAATATACACCGTCTAATTTTTATTTTGAAGCCTCAAACGGAAGTTGTTAGAAGTTGCCTCGCTATTATGGCCTTGATGCTTGTGAAGTTTGACAGATGTTATGTTTTTAACCAGTCCATGGTTTGTAATCACTGTATTCACTGGCCTCTAGTCACAGCTAACACAGCAGCTAACTGCAATTCAGTTCATTTCATTTCAATTCACACTAGCCTACTTTATTCGACTCTTAAGCGGCAATTTGAGACAATTTGAGGCAAGCAAACAAATATACAAATAAAAAATTCATTTACACACAAAGCAATAGAAATCTTAGAAAGAGCTAAAATATACAAGGATTAATAGCTGGACAGTCTGCAGCTGTAGTGGACAGCCCAGTGTCCACAAAGGCACATATTATGGCCTATATAAGGACTTTATCAGTATTAGGGATTTTGTGTTTTGGCAGTGACTTTAGAAACAGACACAACTGCTAGTACTTTCAGGGAGACTTTAAATATAAAACCTGTATGCAAATAGCCTTGAAAACACCATGAAGAAAGAAAAGACACCAGTTTAAAATCATTCCAGAATATCTTTTATTTCATTGCCCTGGTCGTATTCCCCACCCTCCCTCATCCCTATTGCTGCACTCAATCATTACAAGGATATGGTGCTGATTCCATTTTACAGCAGAATAGATAAATAAATAAGTACAATTCATCTCACTACACGCAAAAAGAGAGAAAAAAAATCCATTCAAACCACTGATTTAATAAATATGCTTACATCTAGCTGTCCTCGTTTATGTACATCCACATTGTTTATGCTTTGGGACGGTAATCAACTTAAAAAGCCTATACATTACTTCTATGTGTAAACACCTTCAAAAAAATTGTTTCTGTTGTTTAAAAGTTGATGTTTGTTCTGTTTACCTTCAGTGAGTGGAATTCATCAGCTTTGCCTACGTTACAAAGCCTTGCACTAGCAGCAGTGGCTGTGGGCAGCTGAATACATCCTGCTATTAATGGCCACAAAGAATTACTCGCCTTTTCCAAGTCAAATGCTAACGGTCCCAGCACTGCAGGGCAAACTGCATGCATTGCCCTGAGCCCCGGCTTTGCATTATTTCTTTTTGTTTTCTTTTACCCGACACACTCTTTGTGCAAAGATGGATGAAAAGAAAGTTGCAAATTTGTCAACTGTGCAGTGTGAACTTTGATGATTGTTACAGTGGGCCAGTCCTTCATATAAACAAGGAGCATGCATGCTAAACTGCTGATCACAGCCATGTAGAGATGACTTAATGGATGAGTGAATATATGACATGAACTGTGATTTTTAGATGTGGCTCAAACACTCCACATGAAACAGTTCGGACAACAATGATTTTTTTAAGGGAAGAGCTGCTACTCTCTTTACCTTACTACATTATTTCTGATCTGTTATTGATCTAATTGCAAAATGTCTGGGTTAAACAGAACTTTAATCCTTGTTGTGTCAGATCAGGTGAGATGCTGTCAGAAGGTTGCTTGATCAAATGAACATCTACTTTTTTCCACTGGGGATGAAGTCCATTACTGCCCCACAAGGTGTCAGTATTATCACACATCTAGACATCTCCTTGAGCTATTCTAAACACAAAGACATCACGCTTGCTGTCGTACAACTGTGGAACTCGGTTGTGTTTGGCTGGTAGGTTTAAACTAACGGAGGAGAGAAGAGAAGCAGAGTGACAGGAAGTAGGGATGGATTTCTCAACGTAAAAGTGCTGATGAGTTTCTGCTGCTGGGGACAGAGTATTTGATGGTTCGTTTGGGTGGATAGCAGGTAGCAGTATATGGAAGATTTAACATGGCTTAATGAAAAACGAATCAAACAAAGACCATGAAAAACAATACACATTGTTATATGTGTATTTTTTAATATGTCATAATTGAATGAAAAACATGTATATAGGACAGTTACTTAGCTTTTTGTCTTGTTCTTCATTGTGACATGAATTTTCCATGCTGTATCAATTACAAATCATAACACACAAAACAAAGAGGTGTACTGCATTAGTGTTGTCTGACAGGTAGCAGAGTAAACCTGCCAATACTTAATGCATAGCACTGTCATGACTTCTCACTTTAAAAAAAAAAACAAAGAAAAAAAAACACATTGTCAATGTCAAAATGAAAAAGAACAACCAACTGTCCAATCACAGCTTGAGGACAGGACAATGGGCGTGAGACTTCAGGATGGATAAATTTTGCAGCACATAACTTTACAACTGCTTACGAAAGCACAAAGTCTAGAAGTTTTTGCCAATAAATAACTTCCAGGTACAAAAGGCCACTCACAGTAGGTCTCCTCATACAGTAATTTTAAAAGTTTTAAGTGACAGCTGACTATCAGTAGTAGTAACATAATGTACATCAAAATTCATCCATCCTATAATCTTTGTTTTTAATGCAGCAGGAAAATTCATGTCACAATGAAAATCAAATCATTCAGTTATTAAAGACCACAAAGCTAAATAACTATCTCTTTAATATATGTTTTCATGTATTTATGACACAGTAAACATACATAAAAAGGAAATACATATGACAATGTGCCTTGTATTTCACTTTATTTCTTTGTTTGATGTGTTTTTATTTTAGCACTCTAAATCTTCCACAGTAGAGCCAGGTTTGGCTTGATTTCCAAAAGCATGTTGAGCCTAAGGTGTCGCATCTTTGACCACTGCAGGTCAATGGTCAAAGCGAACCTTAGTGTTAAGATGCTTAAGGGAAAATGAGGTCCGCTGGCCTTCACATGGAGATGCTGCTGTAGAGCTGGTCGATCTTCCCCTTGAAGAACTCCTTCAGCTCCGGTCTCTTGGCCTTTAGTGTTGGAGTCAGGAGGCCGTTTTCAATGGAGAACATCTCGTTGTGGACGTAGATGTTCTTCACCTTAATGCAAAATGGAAAAGAATAGAAAAGATGCTGAATGAGACCAAGATTCTTGAGAGTCTCTCCAAAGTTACTGAAGGCTTCCTTGGATAAGAACAGACACGAATCCCAGCTCGGTGTAAATTAAGGCAATGTTATTATAGAAAACAAAAGCATTGGTGTAAATAAGACCTGTAATTAATATTTTTGGGCCAGCCTTTACTTATCCAGGAAAGGGTGTTTTATATACCTAAAGATGAAGATTTGAAGAAGAATAAAGAAAGGTTTACAATGTGTAGTAGTACAAGTATAACCACGGTATTTTAATTGGTCTTAATTTTGTAAATAAACTACAGACAATACTGCTGCAATAAAAGGCAAACCAAACATTTTTATGATTTATACATTTTTTGCCTGCCCACCTGCTCAAAGGAGTGAAGGCCACTGCCCTTGCCGAGACGTACCAAATCTTCAAGGATTGCTTTCTTTAGTTCCTGTTGACAAAAGAAGAAAATTATCCTCCTAAAAGTATTTACAGCATCTATTATAAGCAATGATATCTGAGGGTTTATTATATCTAGCAAGGGTTTGACGTGTCACCTACCGTGTTTTTACAGAGGTCCTTGTAGGTACCTAATATGCCTTTCTTCTTGGCCCATTCGGGCATGACTTCAGGGTCAGGAACCACAATGCCCACCAAACAGGACTGGAAAGAGCAAACACACACACAAAAAAAAAAGTCAAAAAATTGTGTACCAATTCATCCAAAAAATGGCAACAGGTAGGTGAGCATGTATTTTATTTGTTCTGGTTCGATGTGGCGCATATCGCTTAAAGAACGATGGCACAGACATACTATCAGAGCTACAAAGTACATTCATGCCTTTGAAAGCTAAACTTGGACAAATAAGAATCTGAGCAGAAGACCTACTCCATATTAAGGTCTATGGAACAATATCGTACTGTGAATGTGAGCCTACTAATGTCTTTACCTGCAGACTGTCTCCATGAACATAGAGCTGTGCCACAGGTTCACTCCTAATGTAGATGTTCTCGATCTTCTCAGGGGAGATGTACTCGCCCTGTGCCAACTTGAAGATATGCTTCTTCCTGTCAATGATCTTCAGTGTGCCATTCTGCAGGAGAGGAGAGGTTGAGAAGAGAAAACAGGATGAATTATTTAAAGCAAATGCTGTATAACATCAAATATTTTTGTCATTATTATGACTAAATACTGGAATCAAATGTAAGCTGCATGTACATACAGGTAACCATTTTCCAATGTCTCCGGTGTGGAGCCAGCCGTCTGCATCCAGCGTCTCGGCTGTCCTCTCTGGATCTTTGAGGTAGCCCTTAAACACATTTGGTCCCTTCACACAAACCTAGATGGAAGATCAGAAAATTAGAAAAAGGTTGAGGTTGGAGGTGAAATACTGTATATACACTTTAATATATACACTGTAGCTCCTGTACTAACACAGGTTTTTAAAAGTCTCCAAAGATTATACTCTTTTATTTCTTCCTACTCTAGTTGTCTTTATGTCTGGCCTTGTTTCTTCAAGTCAAAGGCGCACTGTAAAATTTTAAATGAGCTTAAACTTAGCTCTCTGACGTGTGGATACTGTGATGAACACACACACACACACACACACACACACACACACACACACACACACACACACACACACACACACACACATACTCACATACATACATGTGCAGTATGTATATCTCTTTCGTTGCTTACCTCTCCCTCTCCCTTAGAGGCAAAGTAGTTCTTCTCAGGAACATCCACCAGTTTAATGAGGTTACATGGCAGCGGAGCCCCGACGTGACCTATTTGGTCAGAACAAGATCAATAGTTAGGAACTCACCAAAATGAGTTTTCTTCAGTTTTTCCTCACAGTTTTGACAGTGATGAGGCCTTCATCAATGCTAACAATGACCACTGCCAACTAAATGAGTTTCCTCAGACTCATCAAAAAAAAGTTCACAGCATGTCAGTGGAAACTAAAGGAGAAAAAGGAAGTAAGATCAGTCAACATCTGTTTTCAAAGAAATACAGATGATACAGAGCTCATGAAATATTATAACTGAGCAGCAGGGGGTGTTGCTAGACTGCATTTACATGGCATTTCCAATGGTAGTATTATCTAATAGCCTTTTAGTTACCGCTCTGTCTGAAATGCAGTCATTCAACTTGTGCCATTTCTTTCTTAGTGTTTGTTTCTGCCATCCTTTCCCGCAAAAAAATATGTGAACATGAGCAGAGGAAAGAGCTAACATTAAGTGAAATGGTCATAGAAACTGAGTACCTTCTAAGTGTCCTTGTACTTTTCAGGAAACATTTTTAAGTCAGTAATTTTACTTTTATGTACAGTATTTATTTCACAATGTCTGAAATCACAAGTAGAGTACAGAATTCGAAGCCTCTCCTCTTCAATCAGGTATGTGTAGATGAAGTGGAGTAATGTTTACTTTTTTCACCATTTATGTTCCTTAGATCAATTTCCAAAGTAACCTAGTTTACTACCGCCCTCTTTTAGAGTCACTTAAGAAAGCTCAGATCCAACAATGTTGTCTCAGTGCCTCTTCTAAAATATAAGTCATTAACTTTTATGCTGGGTACATTTTAAATGAGGGGCTTTTGCCTTTTACATGAGCAGCGTTTTACAATGGTACATTTTCTCCAGTCAAATATTAGCAGGTGAGCTGTGCCTGTGTTTGAGAAGGAGATTAAATTACTCTTTGAAAGAGACATTTCTGACTGCATGTGCTGCACATGCAAAACATTTGTTTAGTTTTACTTTTACTGATTCAGATATAAACAAATTCAAATAATGATAAAGACTATACCGTCGCAGCAGCTGCTTTATAATATAAAGGTGAAAGGTCATGTGATATTTTATTAGCAATCAAATCAAACCCAGTTGTCGTTAAAGCTCTGTCTACACGGTGTTAAAGAAGACTCAAAAAAGTGGAGGCCTGGAAAACTTCTTCAGCGCCCATGATGGGTTGTCAACTGCTAATGGAATGAACAGGGCACCATCCAGTTCTTGATGGCAACTTGTCCCAACAGCATTCCACGTTACTGATCCATAAATAGAGGTTGAGCTCTCAAGCTATTTGCTAGTTGACAAGGCTTATTATGAAACCAAGAGGAAAAACTGAGTGTTTTTCAAACTTTGGCAATTTTCAAAAACATTCAGAAACCATTTGAGAAAAAAATGATCTGAAGTTTCATATATAAACCTTAGAATTACAGTTATCTGTATTGTGTGTGTCAAATCATGTACATTCAATAATGCAATGATAGAAATAATAATTATTTGTATTCAATTGTAGTGATATTGACCCTCAAAAGACAAATCTAATTGCTCTGAAGGTACAGCTCAATTAAGAAACATGCACTCTTTTATTTTGGTAGAACTCTACCCTATAAATATACCATTTGATAAATGTCTTCAGAGGATGACACAATTTACACTTAAGTGTTAACTGCATGGAAGTCACTTTGGAAATTACCATCAGTGTCAAGCAGTCTAACACAACAATGTGGCACACTACAGGATAAATACAGGCAGTTATGCCAGCTACAGTCTTTTATACCTGCTTGTTGATTTTGGAAGTCACCTAAGCAGGCATTATGATAGTTGATCATGTCAGGCCTAACAGGTCTATTTTCTCTGTCACCATTTAAGGCCCCCCCCATCAATCTACAGGATACAATGCACACGTCCTACTTTTTCCTTCTGAGAGCAGTCTACAAATTGTTTATTGCGTGCAGAGCTGATAAGGCATGAGTTTTTACGTCATTATCTCAGTGGCACAGTCACAGTTTTGAACAATGTCATTAAAATTGATTCGAGCAGCAGCAGTGATTACAGAATTCACTTATCAAGTTTATAGATACAGTGACCTCAATTAAAGACCAATCCAGTGTGGGACTTGTTAATTCCTTATAACTCCAGCCACATCACTTTTAAACCTTTGGACTGATACCAAAGTCAAGTAAACAGGTCTAGTCAGAGATAAAGCGGTCTGTTGCATAAACCTTGGCTCACCTGGGGTCCAGTCTCCAGGTGTGGTGAAGGTGCAGCCAGCTGTGCACTCTGTCTGGCCATACGCCTCATACACCTGCACATAGACACAGACAATGTTGAAAGGAGAGGTGTGCGTGCACCTATATACTGTATTGGTATGTGAATGTGTAGTTTGGGGCAACGTGCATCAGTGCATATACTGCATGCCGGCCAGACACAGTTTATACCTATCTTTGTGAGGACCAAGTTTTATACCCTAAGGGTGAGGACATGTTGTCTGATCCCCTCTTCTGAACAGGGTTTTAGGATTATACCTGCAATAACTGCTTTTTTTGGCTATGTGGTTGTGATGACATATCATCTCTTTTTAAGTTAATATGGAGAACTTGTTAGCAAACAGCTGCATATTTACTCATCCAGCAGTTACATAGCAACATAATCATTCAATTGAAGTCCTGTGTCTGGCCACTGATCTCAGTTCAATATTCACATTCAGTTTTGGACTTTACCAACCTCTGAGGGTAATATAGGGTAGTCTGTCTCTCTTTAAATGTGCCACTGTGTTCACCAGCAAGTACTTTACTGTGTCTCTCTGCCATTTGGTGCAGAGCAGGTGGTGTACAGAGCGCTATTTTTGCAGAAAACAGCTGCCTACTGTGGCTCACTTACAGTCAAACAATGAGCTGAAATTCACTGTAAATGCTCTGTAAATAATTCTCTGTAGATTCATCGCCATGAGTGACCCCTTTCATGTTGTTTTGACAGTTTTTTCATTTGACACATTGTCATTATAAAGATATAGATTATAGCCACTTAAAGGTTAGACCTATTCTTAGGTTAAGGATGTGAGAAGGGTTAGGCATATGTTTATGATGTTTAGATTTAGGGCCTAGAGAATTCATTATATCAGTGAGGTTTTTGTGTGTGTGTGTGTGTGTGTGTGTGTGTGTGTGTGTGTGTGTGTGTGTGTGTGTGTGTGTGTGTGTGTGTGTGTGTGTGTCTGTGTGTGTGTGTCTGTGTGTTTCACCTGGCATCCCAGAGCTGCTCTAAGGAATCCCAGGACACTGGGCGAGGTAGGAGCCGCTCCAGTTATAATCATCCTCAACCTTCCTCCCAGGCTGGCCTGTCCAAAAGGGAAACATATTATTAGTATAAAAACATGTCCAGGAATATATTGATGTTGACATTGAATTGGAAAGATTGGGGTTTAAAGGCATGATGACGGTTATTGGGCTCATTTGTTAGGGAAATCTAAACAGACCACATCCTCCCAGTCTGGATGAAACATATTAGCTGAGTTTAGTTCAGCCATGAATGTAATGTTAAAGAATAAGTACATAATGATCACTTGGAAGATTATCCAAGAGGTTTTAACACAACACTGAAACACACTAGAGGGTAAATACAGGCGACTGTGATAGCTACTTGTCTTTTACACCCACTTGTTTGTGATGGATTTTAAAGAATGGGTGAAAATCAGGTTATAAAAATACCTTTCACAGCCCAAAAACCATATAGTGAATGTAAACTGTATGGCTCTGACCTCAGCTGGGATCTACGTCAACTAGACTGTTCCAGGCATGAAGTTATTTTCTGAAATGCACTGAACAAACAGAAGCGTATGATGTCATTATGCTGTTGCAGGATAGCAGCAGTTAATGTAATAGATGTCCACAGTAGCACATGTGGACATCCCACTTAGGCAGCTGGGGCCCAGGAGGTAGAGCAGGTCGTTCATTTTCGAAGTGTCCTTGGGCAAGACACTAAACCCCAAATTGCCCCTGATGTATCACTGGTGGAGTGTGTATCATCTAGGTGTGTGTGATAGAAACCTGCATATGCATAGTAAAAGTGCTGTATGAATGTGTGAGTGAATGGGTGAATGTGGCTTGAAGTGTAAAGCGCTTTATACTAGATGTAGAAGTACTATAAAAGTGCATGAGGTAGACGCCCCACATTTGGTTCAGGGAGCGGAGAAACTATTTACCTGAATCTTACTGAAGAAGATTTTGTCCCAGATGCTGTCACTGCGAATGATTCCGCTGCTGACTTCAGCACCTTTTCTCTTAGCAGCAAAGTTGAGCAGCCAACGCTTCAATGGGCTGTTAGCCTGGCTGAAGATCTGCAGTGGAGACAAAGAAAAAAAACACCAATGTTTTGGTTAGGATTGGCTGGCGCCTGTCCCTTCTCCCTCCAGCTGTGGAAAACATGTAAATTTATTCATGCAAATTGTCCTGAAATTACCAGGAAGTACGCAAAACCAAACTGATGTCTTCTTTTACATTATTCTCCGTAACCCTCTTTAAGTTTATTACACAACATCTGTTTCTCAAGTCATTGTTGAAAATCAAGACTTCATCCTATGGATGGCAACGATGTTTGTATGACTCATAAAGGTAGCGCTAAACTATTTCTTTGGATTTTCAAACCACAAATCCCTGTGTGAGTCAGTCACTTTCCCAGACAGTGCGAATTTTCACAGATGTTCTGATTTCTGGAGAAAATCTCAATGAACTGAACAAGTTAATGTGATTGTTCTCTTAAGAGTCCTGTCTGTATCTGTTCAGTATCAACTCACCTTGTCGTACATGCGGTTGAGTAGTCGAGGCACCACAGGGAAAATGGTAGGCCGCAGGGCCTTCATGTCATCTGGGAGGAGACGGATGTCGCCCTGATAGAAGCCGATCCGCCCTCCATGGCAGTAAACCACAGACTGCAGAGACAGACACATAACATAAATAGTGACATTAAAGCTATTAGCTATATTGTATATTTTACACAGAAAATCCCAACACAGTGAGGGTTTTTTTTTTTTAGATATGTGGTGATAAAATTTACATTACAGCCAACAATTGATGGAAATGAATGGTGAACTTTATCTATAACACTTTTTAAAACAGTAGTCAAAGTGCAAGAAAATAGATCTTTATATTCATAAAATTCTGCACATAATCTTGTGGATGAAGTGCAGAGTGACTTCTCTCTACTAATTGTGCTACACAGGATAAGAGATCCATTATGAATGGGTAAATGACTGATAAACTTACAAGCACTTGTTGGTGACTCATGTGAAAGACCAGTTAATATATCTGTCATTGTATTTGTGGTAAAGGGTCAGGGTTCTCATTCCCAACCTCTCAAGTACCAATGTCCTTTTGCAAAAAGAGGAACCTTACTGTCATGTTTGAATGATCATTGATGCATTGGAAAATGCTCATTCAGTGGTTGTTAGTGTGTGGAAGACATTCATTGTTACCATCAGTGATGAGGGAATTAATGAGTAGAGGTACCAGTATAAAATGTATACATTCTCCTTTACAAATAAAAGTAAAGAACCCAAAGTAAACAGCTGAGCAGTCAAGATGGAGCTATTTGTGGAAATTATTGATGAAATTGCATGAAAATCATCAATAATAAACACACACCACACTGTAGTAGATGACTAAATATTGTACAATATAGTGGACTGTTCACATGCACAAAGCAGAGTGTCAGTGGAGAGTCCCCAGAACAACAGTGTGAAACTCCCTTTTTATACCAATAGAAGAGAACAAAGAAACCCTGTCTGGTTTATCTGATAGTAACCAGTGACAGATTTAAAGCCAATATCAGGAAGCACTCAGCCCCACATATATCAGACCTATGGAACATGTTCATGCCTGAAAGAACACACTAACATTTACCACAAAATACTCAAACATACAGGAATATTATTCATACTATAAAAGATATAAGCTCATAATAGAACAACCACATTCCTCCATATTCTATAGAATGCTTTCCTAGCATGGATAAAGAAATTACAACTAACAGCATAACATTACATAGTACTCACACAGCACAACTATATCATACTGCTATGCCATGTTCATACACTGTTGCTCATAAAGTTGGAATAAAATATTTTTTTCCTTTTTCCATGAAATGATTGTGACAATGTGATTTACTTAATTTCACCTGGGTAATTGGGACACATAATGTAATCATTGCACCTGGTCAAAAGTGATTACTGATGCATTTAAGTAGGAATAAACAGAGGATCGATTGGAAAACAAAATTATTCCAACTTTATGGGCGACAGTATATATCATATGTAAAGAACAGTTATGTAAGGATGTTATGAAAGGATGTTTTCATTGTCTTATCCAAAATATTTTCACAGTTCCTAACCTTGGGGTCAGGCCCCTGTCAGTGGTTCACAAAATAAAATTGTGGGGTCGCGAGATGATTAATGGAAGATAAGAGTTGTAAAAAGTAAAAGCAGAAGCAGCAGAAGAAGTGCTGTTGCACTCCTTCTGTGTGGCGGTGCTGATTACATTTGAACAATTCTGACTCAAATCAAGAAATGACACATCAGAAAAGTGAGAAAACTGAAGTGCAGTTTGCAAATTCTGCTGTTGCAGATTGTAGTACAAACTAACAGAGGATATTCTAAATGAGATGTATATTCAGTTTGTGTTATGTTCACACGCCTTGCGGATTGCGACACTTCCACGGACTGGCCGAGGATTAACCAAGCACACATCCTTTGTTATCAAGTGGCTGTGAAAAAAAACTGCATTATGTGTCCCACTTCCTGTTTCTGAGGCCATCTGAGGACACAGCGTAACAGAGGGTCCACCCTCTTTTTTCCCTATGATAGAGCCACCACTGGTGTTAGATATGGAGTGCGGTGTATTTGTGTGCATGTGTGAGAGTCTTGAACTTGTTTCTACTGTGTGACCTGATGAGCTGACTTGTAGGGAAGTTAGGTGATTTCCTGTGTCTGAGTCTCACGTTGCTAAAAACACTGCTATGCAGGCAAACAAACCAGGCGGGTTCAGCCTGATACAACATGACTAGCCACACACTCACAAGTGAAGAACCACAAACACACACACACACACAAAATACACTATTACTGATCCACTTAATGGAATAATGATACCTAGTATTAAAAACGCTCAGCAAGGCTAAAGGTCATCTAAATCCAGTCTCACTACATCCTGTCTGAACTGTTTAATGTTTGATGTCAAGTTTTGTGACTGATCCTGAATAAGTTATGATAAGTGGTGTGAGCAAAACCCACAGCCTTGACTGACAGACTTTATATTCCCAGATTCTAAGTAAAAACAACCTCCTCTTGCCTTCAGTTAGTCTGTGTGAGGTCTGGAGGCTAACTGCTCAATTTGCTGTCAATATTTAGTCAAAAAACTTGAGTGGAAACTACTGGAGGGAAATAAAAGAAGAAAAACCGACACAAAATCTGATGCAACCTTCACTATTTATGTCTTTGTTTGATCTCCATTAAATGTTTAAAAGTTTCCTTCTATCTCTGAGAAAAAATTGACCTTGCCCAGGCAGACGGACAGGGGAAATCCTCCAACGCAGTGTTTAATTTGGACATACAGTGATGAATGTTGTGTCTGTCAGTGTGTTTATATGCAAGTAACCTGTAGTTATCTGATTTCCTACACATTGGCAATTGGAGTGAAGGGGCTTCAAAGAAACCTGGTTAACACAGCTACACTTCTGGAAGACAAACCTGATTTCTCTGTTTCATGTAAATACTTACATGGGTTTCTGGTTGGACTTTTCCCGGAAAATATGTGAATGGCAGGGGATTCAGAGAGGGAATGTATCCCTGTAGTGCTCATTTCGTAGGCAGCATAATTAAAGCCAAACTGACTAAAACTGAAACTGATGAATCACGTTTTTTTCCATAGTTGAACAGTAGACCCTTTGCAAGATTTGGGCACTGTAAAATGGTGAATGCTCTAACTACAGTCCAAATGTTCCAACAAACCAGTTTGGTTCTAAAATATGTTAGAAGAGAAATCTGTTGGTGACCAGCTGCATGTAAACACAGGCTTTTACAGTAAACACTGCTGATCTCTGAGCTGCTTGCAAACATGCCCTCTGATTTCCTGCCTTAACCTGAGTTCTTGCAATAACATTTTGTGCATATAGATTGAAAGTTCTCAGACATCTGCATATGTGCGTGTGTGTGCACGTGCTTCAGCAGGGGAAATGATGTAAGATGCACACCACTGACTGTAAAATGCAGACATGGAATTTATCCTCAGAGTTGGAAAGCAAAACTAAAAAAAAAAAAAAAAAGAGAAGATAATTTGGGGAGAAAGAGTCTCTCTCCATCTTTTCTTTCTTTCCCATACACTACAGTTCATACAAGGACATACAAACATACAAGTTCAAATTAGTGCCCACCTTCCTTCCTCTGCCCTGCTACCATCTTAACAGCTTGAAAATCATAAACATACTGTAACTATCTCGTTGTTGTGATTACAGATCTCAGTTCGAGCCACTTACCTCAATGAGCCTCTCAAACATGTGGGCCAGTGGCAGGAAGGAAATGAGGCAATCATCTTGGTTGGGGAAAATGACTTTCTGCAGGAGACAATAGAAGGGAATCAGATGGCCCTAAAAATATTTTTGCAACACAGCAATTTAATGAAAAATAGAAGTTTCATGTAAAAGAATGTTAAAAAATAAAACCAGACTGATGAATCACAAAGTCAGACCTTGACATTAAATCATCCCAAAACCTGGGTGACATCTGGGGGGGTGGAGGGGGTGGGGTTATGAAAGATGTCCTGAGCCAAGGACAAAAGAAGAGAAGGTCACTTACATCTGTTACTTTGAGGAAGCCTGAGAAATCAGCTACCACGTTCCCATGGGTAAGCATGACTCCCTTTGGGTTTCCTGTGTAAGCAGATAGAAAAGACAAACACACCAACATCACAGAAGTGAAACTCTCGTCACCTACCCGAGGATCCAACAGTCATCAAATGGACAGGCAAAAGGAATCCAGGCCTGGGAAGACATATCTCTGCAGAATTTCCTCTGAATTGTACTCGCAATCTCTTTGAACAGAGGAATAACTTATGCACTCATGGACCACAGCATGTGCCATCTGAACACACACACATACATGCTGTATGTCTGAAGCTAATTTTCAAAATATAGCACTATCGAATCTATTATTTACAAAATTCAGCTGCAATCACTTTATTTAATTCACATTTAATCATGTGAGACATTAAGATTTGGGAATATTATGTCTATATTATGTATTTTCTCTGGTTACTTTGCCTCTAGAAACTATAAATACACAGTTGAATAAATATTTTACTCAAATTACCAGACTGAAGCCACGTGCCACTATCATTTCAAGTGGAAAATTAGGAGTCTATGATGTCACACTTTAAAATGGTTGTGGCAATTCCTATAAGAGACTAAAATTACCATTTCTCTTCTCAGTTTCTGTAAAGTCATTTGATCCATCGATCACACACACACTGGTTTGTGTGAAGCAATGTCTCTTGAATAAAATGCGTTCCTCTTTCTAAACACGCCATCTGTCTCACACAGCTGTGAGCAATGTTTTAGATTCAGAGCTGAATAGATGTTGCAACAGAGACGGAGGGAATTCATAGGAAATGCAGAGCGATTTGAGGAAACGAGGCAGCAAGTCTCCCTCGATGCCAGCAGGTGGCAGTGTTTTCAGCACACCAGTGCACACTGAATGTGCTGAGCTGCATCTGCTGTCACTTGTAAACTGACACCAGTGTGTCCTCACTTGACCTGGCCTTGGTTCCCTTGTCGGTTGGTTTCAGAGGCTGTTGTTGCTGTGGGGTAAGAAAAAAAAAAAAAAGAAAGCAGCAATGCTTCCTTACTTTGATGAATGTGCTGCTCTCTGGCATGTCAGAACACGCTGGTGGAATATATTTATATAATGAGAGGAAGGAGAGGGAAAATCATCCTCTTGCTAATAGGTAACTCTGCTGTTGTGTTGTAACTAGATTTATTTACGGTAAATACTAATCTTACTGTCGCTCATTAAAGTGGAAGTGGAGTATTTGATTATTATTATTTATTTATTTATTATTTTTAGATCCGAAAATCCTCACATTTCTCGGAATTATGGAGGAGCGGCCCTGTTGTAAATGTGAATTACAATGTGGCATACTTTTGTCTTCTGTTTTCCTTAGCAAAATACATTCAAATGCATTACACAGAGATTACCATATACTGATTGTCAAACCAATTTTCATGTCAAAAAAACATCATTATTAGAAATTTCCTGCAAACTACTACTGAATGATTTATCTTGTCTATGCTATTTTTGTGCACAGTATACTTTAAATACTTTAAACCACTTGATTATCATAATCGTTATTTACAGGTTTAATTTATAGTGCCTGACAACATCATGAGTGCTTTTATTTTCAGCATGAGTGATCCCAGTTTAAAGTGGCACACTGCCTAAATCTCACAGTGCTAGTGACATGCTGTATCCACTGAGTCACACAGGATCAACATCCAGAAAGCAAAGGGCAGGTGACTGATTTTGCAGCCAACGCATTGTGCTTTCAGTGAAATAGACAAGCCAAGCCAGCAGAGTGTGCAGACTTTGACTTCTTAACTCCTCCTAAGAATCAAATATGTGTCATGCATCTGATCAACTTCCACTAGGCTGAACAGGAATTTTGCAGAACAGTTTATGAACAGGTGTGTCCTCGGCAGGCTGTCCTGTCTGACCTGTTAACTAATAATGCAGACCAAGCATTATTTAATCAATCAAAACCTGTGCGTGACTTCATTGGTAATTTGATTTAGTTGTATTCAAAATGACCTGTCCACATGTTTGACATCTTCAATTAACAATTGTATCATAATTGTAAAATCATAAACAACAGGGAGAACAATGAATAAAAGGATCAAAGTCAGGTGATGAGTCAAAGCGCACATAACTGTTTGACAAGAAGTTAAAGGAGCAGTTTCTGGTAAGTGCAATTATCCCATTGTTAACACAGCAGGTGTAGGTATGGTGCGGTATGGTGCAGTATGGGAAATATTTTGCATGGGGAAACACACAGATCCCTACAGAGAGGCAAATTAACTATTTTCATATATATTTAGCATCTTTAGATACCAAACCCAATACTATGTATTAATATTTAGTCTATCATGCCTTCTCTTTTCTTATCTCTCATTAAAATATGAACATGTATGATTGGCTCTGCTGTTAACAGCCTGTAAAATGACAGTCAAAACTTAACAGTAGCTAATAGGAATAAATTGATAGGCTACTGATAGCATTGTTAGCCACTTAGCTGCGCCACTCATGTTCCTATTTGTGAATTTATTGGCACCAAACACAAATGAAGCATGTTATCCACGTAATTTATACAATTAATACCTGTGGTTCCACTGGTGAAACACACAATAGACAGGTCGTCCGGTGCTGGTGGCTGCGGAGAAAAAAATGATACTAGTCAGAAGACGTGTGACACAATCATAAAATAAACTTCTGCTTGTATCTTTTCCAAGTGTAAACTGCACCAACACGTGTCATTACAGGGTAAAGAATGTTGGATGTTTGTAAATGTTGAGCTGCATTCACACTGCTTGGCTCTGTCCCATTTCTTTGTCATCACAGCACTATTTCATCAAAGTGCTTTCAATGTATGTCCTATCCAAGACGGCTCTCTCTCTGATTTTCAGAGAAAGAGATTCACTCTGCCAGCTAAGCTTAGCTGGCTAATATCCAGTAGCCGCAGGGTTGGGCCTGAATTGTCAGTGTTCAGTCTAGTTTAATCTGTAAAACCAGGCAAAATATGAATAAAGCCATGTGAAGATACTTGTCTTTTGTATTTTGGACTGAAAAGCAAATATAAAGCTTTCAGCAACACTGTTGTCTTGCTCATTTATAAAGTCTCAGATTATTACATTAATCCCTTGTCTGGCTTTAGACAAGTTCAGTGACGTAGTCAGCAGGCGTAGTGTTTATCATGTTCACTATCTTTGTTTAGCATGCTATTATACTAACATTTCCTAATTACTATTAAAAAAAAAGTATGATTCATCGTCTGCGAAACATTCGTAATATCTGTTCAAAATTTAATCAATCCAATAGTTGTTGAGATATTTCAGACTGGACCAAAGTGGTGGAGCGACTGAGAGACCAACATCGTTAGAGCCATGCTGTTAGCGAGTCTAAAAATGTTGTTCCCTATGTATAGTGGAATTGTGATTTAGTACTTACTATAGGTTTTCTGTAGTGCTCTCTGCCCAGAGCCTGTGAGAAAAAACAAGATGAAAATAATTATTACTAAAGGACTTGACACTTGACATGCACAAATGACATTAAAACAACACTGTCTGGCGTAATTTAAGGGTTATTTCTCCTGATTCCTTGAACGTGAGCAACTTTTCTTAATCAAGGATAGCAACATGTGGGTCAGTGTTGATGGGGGCGTGTTTGATTTGTCATCATTTGGTTACTGAAGGCCAAACATTTACATGTGTCAGTGTAGATCAAGTATAGCAGCATTTACAATAACTCATTTCATTTCATTTAAGGAGGTGTTTGCTAAACTGGGTGTCTATCACACTGGCACAGTTACACAACGATTGGTCATCAGAGAAAAATGAACATGTGACGGCCAGCTACTTTCCTGTGATTGTCTTTGCTTTCCGCAACTCATTGGAACATCCTCACTGTGCTATAAATGCCTTGTATATTTTATTCAACCACAGCACAACTTTTTTTGCCCTTTTTTTGATCTTTGTATTTTTCACCTTTTGGATATAAGATGTCATCACCTCATCATTTTATCCTATTAAACATTTGTGTTAAATTGTGTCATAACTAACGTATGAATTTGTGAATTGTGGCCAAAAAACATGTTTTGTGAGGTCACACCGACCTTGACTTTTGACCTATGACTACCTAATAAGTTCATCCTTGAAATGTGCATCTATCTCAAAAAAGCCTCAGCTATGACCTGCTGGACCAGTTTCATGTGTCTGTTTGTTGTGGTGATTGAGCTAATGGGGCATTAACAGTTACGGTTATAAAAAGAGCAGTGAAATTACTGTAAATGAGACAGACATAGGGTCTATTTTAATGCAATACGCGCTGTCTGTGTGGGATTTTGCGATTGTGAAATGCCACATGTGTCAGATTCTGCAGAGCTAGAGGCAAGTACAGACAGATCTCCCCAAACATGGCTAAGAAGTGACGCAATGTTTTGATAGTGTGTTGACTAGATCTAAACATCACTTTGTTATGACTGGATGTTAAAAAAATCAACTTGTGCAAAGGTGAAGTTTCCTGACTGTTGCCACCTATAAAAAAGTATGTTATCCCTGCAGCCATTACTGCTGACACAGACATTTGGATGAATCAACAATCACTCTTCATGACATGACATATTTTTTGAATTACAGTGAATATCAGGATTATTCTTGATTGACAACCACACAGCAGAAAATATCAAAATAGCTCTTTTAAAAACTAATTCAAAGCTCTTTAAGTGTGCGTATACATTTATTTTGATATAGTTTGCATGATCTGCACCAAGCCAATTCTCCCACTAGACCCGTTTTAGCTTTACAGAGTTTCCTCTTTTCCAACGTGTCACACCTCGACTTCCTGTATGGCCTGCACATGGACGCTGCAGTCCTTGCCGCGCTCCATGAGGGTAGAGTTGAAGGCATCCATCAGGATGATTCTTTGCAGGCCCGGAGTCTCCTTCCGCTCAACGTTGTCCAGCAGCACCTCAGCTTTCTCTACTTTGTCGCAGATGACCGTGGAGATGTCAGCTGAAATGACACAAGCACACAAGAGCACACGCACCCTTTGTGTGATTATCAGCAGAATAAAAAACAAAAATAAAACAATCCAAAAAAAAAGAAAAGAAAAGGAAGACTCAAATGTGGGTAGGGAGTTCAATTGAAATCTGATCAGATTTTTTGGTAGTTCTATCTTCAGTTCAGAAATAAAGCAGTTACGTTCAGTTCAGTACAAAACCTATATAAGCACTGTTTATAAGGTTAACAGTTCAGCAGTCACCCATTTGCAGCAGAGTTCTCACATTATGGTTGTCTCTGTGGCTTTTGCAGTCTTTAAATAAAAGTTTAGCCAGGAAGTATCTCACTGAAGTTTGTTCATGTGTAAATAAACTCTAGCTGTAGCACCAGCGGGGATTCAGTTATGTGCCTCCAATCCGTACACTCCACCAGATATTAGAGAAAGAAAAAACAACCAAGAGAAGACAATTTGTTTCTACAAGCAGATAAACGTTGGCTGACGATGACAGTTGCCTCAGCAGTCAGGATAAAAAAAGAACTGACTCATGGGAGAAACATTAACAACCACATGTGTACCAGCGCTGCTGTATGTCCCACACATAACTAAATCCCTGCCAGTGCTACATCTAGAGATTATATTACACATGAACACTGTTGTGTGATTAACATGTGTTGTTAAAGTGAAGATGACGCATTCGGATGCTGATCATTTTCCAAAAGATCACACGGACTGACATTTCAGTAATGTCAGCATCGTCGGTACAGCCTACATAGGCTAAACTGTTCTGGTGAAGATCAACAAATATTGACGAATTATTCTTCTTCTTATCTAAAAGTTAGTGGAACTAGCTTTCAGCAGTCAGTCACACTGATGCGGTTTCAAAACCAAGACACGTACTGAATCTTCAGTAAGTAAAGACCCTTAAATGTCTCATGACATCATGACTTCACTCTACTAAATAAAGTTATTTAGTTGCAGGCTTCATGTGTCTGTTCTTACCAGTATTAATGATGAACCGTATGGCGTCTGGGCCCAGAGTGTCATAAAGGGGAACCACCACCATGGAGTAGGTGTAGCAAGCTAGTTCTGAGATGATCCACTGTAATCACACACAAGTCAGGGGTCAAAGGTCAGTGGTTAGAGTTCATTCATCCACTGAAAATCCGGCCACATCCTTTTACTCTTTCCAAGCCAATACATTTTATTTTCTATGTATATATTTTTCAAGAGGGCAAAGGCGAATCTGTTTAAACAAGAGAGGATCCACAAGTAGAACAGTGTGTACTGTTTTTGAGTGTGTGTGTGTTTATGTTTACATCAGTGGCCTGTATGAACGAAACCATCTGTAAAATGGTTTACCTTGCCTGAGCCAAATGCTGTGTGATACAGACAAGAAGAATGTGAGATTCAGAAGAGACAGACAGAGCAAGAAAAAAAAGAGTGACTGTCACCTCTGGTCGGTTCTGGGCAAACACTCCTATGAACTGGTTGGGGTTGGGCTGGCAGCCTTGGTGCAGCAATCCTGAACCCAGATGCTCGGCCCGGGCTGTCACCTATGGAGTGGGAAGAAGGACAGCAGCTGATTGGATAAGGTGGAACAATACCAAACAAATACTGAGCTAGTTTTCCAGCTAAAGAAAATATTTCATGTGATATTAAAAACTCAGTTTCTTGGGAAATAAACAGCAGAGGGCAGAAATTCTTCTCAGCGTTCGGTGTTTACTAATTTAGGAAAATAAAATAACCTCTGTAATAATTTGAAAGAAAAGGGAAATCCATGGTTGTCATAGTCTGGATTATACATGCTTAAATTGTAAAAAACAATAATATTCAAAGGTCATCTGCCACATTTTAAGCCCATTTTGGAAACATCCACAGTTGCATCTCTCGAGAAATGACTCTCCATTATGTAAACTGTTAAATTACTAAACTCTCATTTCTCAAGTTACCATGATTATGAAACACATCAAAGAAAACAGGGTTTATTTTATTTTTGCTTAGACAGCAAAGAAAGTTGCATAATGACTTTCTTTAGCAAAGTGTTGCACATTATTTTCCATCCTGGGATGAGAATAAACGGTGCATTGCTTAGATTACAGAAAGATATGGCTTCTCACTGAATGAGACTGTTAGCAAGTCCAGACTTATCTGGCTTTCCTGAGAAAAAAGAAAAGAAGAAGAAAAGGACAATCATCCTCCCACAGTTCTCTTGTAAAAAAACATGATGTCACTGATAAAATTGTTGAAGGTGGCATAATTCCCTTCTTGTACAGCCTTGAGCTTTGTTCTACAGTAAATTGCTACATCACTTGTCTTAATAAAATTCCCTGCCTACCCAAAACCTCCACTCCCATGAGTCTCCAAAACATGTCAGGTTGTCTCCTGAATTGATTTATTGAGAACGGAAACTGCTTCATGGGACGCTGGAAGTTTTCCATTGCTCATGAACTGCCAGAGATGACTTCAACACAATTGTGAAGTTTGCTGGTCAGCGCAGTGCTAACAGTGGAAGAGGCCTCCAATCCGTACACTCCACCAGATATTGGAGAAAGAAAAAACTACAGACAGGAGACAATTTGTTTCAACAACAGTTGCCTCAGCAGTCAGGATAGGAAATTAATTGACGCATGGGAGAAATATTAAAAACGACATGTGTGCCAGTGCTGCTGTATGTCCCACACATAACTGAATCCCCGCTGGTGCTACAGCTACAGATTATATTGCACATGAACACCGCTGTGTGATTAACATGTGTTGTTAAAGAAGATGCTGATCATTTTCCAATAGATCACACGGCTTGTCATTTCAGTAATGTCAGCAGCATCAGTACGGCCTACATAGGCTAAAGTCTTTTGGTGGAGATCAACAAATATTGATGAATTATTCCTCTTTGTTTTAAGAATTTAGGTTTTTCATTAATTTTACTGGTTTACATCCCCTTGTCAAAAGGATAAAAACCGATTGCAAGTTGTTGTTTACCTCTGCTGTCAATTTATTGGGAAATCATAAAGATTTGAGCTTATACTGAAAGCGTAAAAGATTATCAATGATGTCCTCAGGGATGGGTTTTAGATTGCCTTTATGTAAAACAAACAGAAGGAAGTTTGGTTTTATTCCGGGGGCCATTACACTAAGAAAAGGTCAGTTCACCTTGTGTACAGACCGAAAAATGCACTTGTACTTTGACACTGTTTGACATAATGTTCGAGGTATTGTTGGCCAGCAACGGATTGGCCACTCACATTAATCCTTGTGTATTTCAACTCTTTTTAACATTTCCTTTCTTGTCACATTTTCACATATTCTGGTTGCTGGGCAGACTGGGTGCTGCAAAGCCTGTGACTGATTATCCTCTGAATGGCACTAACCTCTTTGTAGGACATCCATTTGTAAGGCTGGTTAGGGAGCCGCGAGCCTAAGCAAGGTCCATCACCTGTTGGAAGACAGAGTGAGACATGAGACAAGTTTAAGAACATTGTGAAACCTATGATGGCGGACAAAGCATCACATTTTAAAATAAACATATGACCAAAACTCTGTTAGTAGCCCTGAACCGTAAACATTGTATTTTGTGAGCAAATGGTTGACTTATTATCATTTAGTCACTTTTTAAGCATTCAAATTCTGATAGACAGGACTGGTATAATTATATTTAAAAACAATTTAAAAAGACATTCTAAACTATAATGAGTGGACCACTTCAGAGGATGAGGCTCTCTCAGGAGCAGGTGTGGTTGGAGTGCTCTTAAGCAGAAATGCATTATCTCTGCAATGTGAGTCAGTCGCTTAACGTCCCTGCTTAAACTCCCCGGCTGTGAGCCCTGAAGCTGTTACCATTAGCAACGATGGCCATCCTCTTGGCAACCAGAGGACTCATTTTACCTCAAGCACCAACAAAGCATTGATTAGAGGTTTTATGGTCGAACCACAACATTGTCAAACTGTGTGCTATTTGTGTATAATACATGAAAAAGTACTACAGTGTGTGTGTGTGTGTGTAAGCCATCTTTTACTGTGCGTCTAGCAGTCTAATAACTTCTGTGTGATGATGAAAGAGTTGGACAGACTGACTGAAAGGTCCTGATAAGTATTTTTGTATTCTTAAATGTTTTCTGTGTAATATACCATGACTCACTTTGCCCCTTCTGTATTTTTTATACGTCATATTTTTATAGATAAATTATATTCGTTTATGTTTCTTTCATTTGTGTGTCTGAAAAGCTGAAACATGAAACACTGGAGTTTTGTCCATAAACTAACGTCGGTCGGTAAATATTTGAGCACATTGTCATTTTGATCATGGTAAAACAGCGACAACATTGTTTGCATTTATCTCATGGCTGAATGCTGCCATGAGGTTCCGATAGTGCATCTATGCCTAAGACTCGTGGGAGTTGTAGTTGTTACTTACAGCAGTATTTTATAACTACATCTCCCAAAATCATTATTTTAGATTGGTTAATATAAAATGTAAGTGAGGCATTTTGCTGGGTAATAAGTACTGCATTAGACTTAGAATATAAACTCCCTAATAATTAGTTCATATTTACCAACTCAGGGCTCCTCTCATCTGGATTTTGGCAGCTCGACAGTAAAAAGACACTGTCTGGACAGATTTTTTTTTTGTAAGAAAATCCAGCTGAAAGTAGAAAAGTATGGGGGACACAATATGACTTTGAATAGTGCGGCAAAGGAGTGTGTGTTTGTTTCTATATTTGTGAAACTGTCCATGAATATTGGCATGTGTGTGATTAATAATGTGCGTACAGCTGTATGCCTGTTTGTGTCGACAAATTTATATCTCATTATTATGTAGCCTCATAAGTAAATCAATGTGTGAGTCAAGCGTGTGCATGAAAATGTATTTTTGTGTGTGTGTGTGTGTACCTTCAGATGTTATCTTATCAGTTACATTATCCTTTTGATCACATCTGCTTTGTTGATCCTTGATTGCTCTCTTCATGTTTTATCTATTTCATTTTTAGTCTGTGCGATAAGTTTGTTCTAAGTTCTACGTTCTGTCTGTCTGTCTGTCTTTGCCAGGACACTTCTGTAAAATAGGTTTTTAATCTTAGCAATTAACTTTATAACAGTTAACTTTGTTTTAAAATTACCTTCATAATAACACACTTATATGCTATCCCGTACAATAACAGATGTAAATTAAACTTGTAATATGGGTGGAAAACCCGATTTTGATCTTCTTTTTAGAGTGAAATAAACACTTTGTGAGGAAAGCTGTCCAAGTCTAGAGGAACAGACCAATTTGAATAGTATATATGAGTAGGAGTGGAAACGTCTGTCTGGTTGTGAGCTCACAAGTGAATACTACACAGTGTTTATTCTTCACCCTCAGACAGTATTCTACCCACCAGATATGTGGAGGCCTCTCTGGAAGACCTCGTACATGGTTCTGGCGTCGTCATGGTAATGACTCAGCAGCTTGGAACTGTCGCCCATCATGGACCGGCGACCTCCATCTTCATGCTAATGCAAAGAGAGAGAGAGAGGGTGAGTGAGACAAGGAGACAGTGTAACACCATAAACAACATTTTTGCAACATTTTCTCTAAACTCTGGAGGTGTTAGTATCATAATGAAACAGAACAATGAAACAAAACTTTAAAAAAAAAAGGTCTAATTCATCTGCAACAGGAAGACTGTGTTGAATAGACAGTAGAGGCTGAAGAAAATTGTTTTCCTTGTTCTTTTGTCAGCTCAAAAATACTTAAAAAAATGTCAGAGCTTCTGAATTGAACAGAGCTTTGTTTCTTTCCCCTGTGTGCGCACTGCTGATGCATTCTGGGTGATTAGAGTTAATTCTCACAAAGACAAAGAAAAGTTCAAGCAAATTTCTTTTTGCAAATGAGTCATTTAGGCCGAAAAGATTAGGGAGCCTTTAGCCTTGGGAGTTATGAAACACTGAAACACTGACTTGAAATCATGAGTCTTTGTGTGTCTCTGCATGCGTGTGCTTGTATTGTAGTTTTTGCCAGCACTTCTCAGATACACATTCATCTCAGTCTGTTAAGCAGTAGCATCGCTAGCTCAAACACATTCATCAAGAAAAGAAACCTGTAATAGCCACAGAAAGCGTTTCAAAGGAGTTTCATGTTGATTACAAATGCTGCCAGCCTCAACTGTTAGTCAGAGGGCACAGGGTTGAGGTGTGGGCGTGAAAAAAAACACGTGGTTTGGTTTGGACAGTGGTTAAGGTAAACCAGGACCAGGGTTTAACAGTTTAGTTAAAAGTTTTAATAGTGGCTAACATTCATATATGTCTTTATTACTTCTTTGTTATTATTTATTTATTTATTTATCATTACACTTTTATTAATAATGTAACTTTTGATGTAAACTTTTGCGATGCTATTAAGACAAGTAAAATGCACAAAGTGATTCATTATTATTATTATTATTATTGTTATTAATATGTGAAAATTATCAATTGAATTTTCTCTGAGGGTAGTACAGTGTCCATTCAACACCATTGCTGGCTCAGCATTAGTGAGCTCAGTTGTCACATGTTACCTTGTGTAGTGACCCTACAAGATCCACCTGTGCTTAGGGCAGCATGTATATAGCCTGACAGGTAAAACCCAGGACACACACACACGTATGCAAACCACAAACACCCCAAAGCACTCCTGCTCATGAAGCTTATTGCTTCATGCAGTCCATGAAGGTGACCTCAATGAGGGTATCAGCATTTTGCTTCTCTCATCTGGATTTTGGCAGCTTGACAGAAAGAGAGTGCTGTGTGGACAGATTTTAGTGAGTAAATCAAACAAAAACAGGAAAAGTGTGGGGGACAGAAATAAGACAGCAAATAAGACTGCATCTGTAAATCCATGTTTCTCCCCAAATCCATCTATTAATTTATTTGTGTGTGTGTGTGTGTGTGTGTGTGTGTGTGTGTGTGTGTGTGTGTGTGTGTGTGTGTGTGTGTGTGCGTGTGTTTGTGTGTGTGTGCTCCATCTTACCGGCACCTCCTCAGACTGGTGCAGAAGGCTGCAGGGTGGTTTGATGGGGCGGGGTCTGGTGGCCAGCCAGTACGCCAGCACGGCCGTCAGAGCGCCAATGCCCACCAGCGTGGATGTTGGCAGGGAGCGGAAGAACTGGCCGATATCGTCCATCTCCGGTATCCTCAGGCCGCTCATCATCTCCTGGGCCTGCATCTTCTCCATCAGGGTGGAACTCAGCTCTGCAGGAAAGTGGACAGAGGTTGGCTTAAGTGTCTGAGAAGATTCTCAGTCATCCAGGTATGGCTATCCAAGGGACTGGACAACTGGACTTTTAACCTCTCATCCAAGAGGCTTCTTCAGTTCTGACTTACTGGTGGGGAGACCCAGGTATTTAACCTCTGTGGGGTCAGAACTGAAGAAGCCTCTTGGATGAGAAGAACTTCAGGTATCTGCAATGAAGTCCACTTGCCCTCGATTCAACCCGTCTTGGATTTCAAACAAAACTCTGGTGCTTTTTTTGTGTGCACCAACAGAATCAGCATTGTTTTCAAATTCTTTCAAAAGTTTTAGCCACATTAACATTATTATTTATTATTACTTTCTCTCAGGGAGCAAAAAAATCAACAGCTTTTATGCGTCTTGGCAGTCAATATCTAATAAATACCTTATAAGGCTAAATAAGATGTGCCAGGGGGGGTATTTAAATAATGGCTTAGATGTTTGTGATCCATTGCTGTTGAAGAATAGACATGATCTGGAAAATACATGGCAATCATCTGTCCAAGTATTCAATTCTAAATTCATTCATTCATACAGTCTTACAGTTTCCAAAGAAACACTCATTTTCAAAGCAGGCTGTATTTTGGGATTCAAAGAAAACCAAACAAACAAAACAGACAAAACCACAGTCTGGCACCTGACATTAAACTGCAGCAGTACGCATAAAATCAACCAAAGTCATGTGAACATGTGACAACGGTCTGCAATTTTCTGGTTATAAAAAAACTGCATCTTTCACTTCCACAGACAATAAACTCACCAAATCTGCCATGAAACTCTCCTCTTCCTCTATTCAATGTGTAATCTTCTAGCAATGTGCTCAATTTCTTAGATGTTAACACCACATCTGGTGCAAAGTATCATGAAAGAATTTATATGTGTAATGGTTTGTGTGCTATCACATGCACATCCTTGCATTAAAGGTGAGGTCATGTTGTCCCCTTACTATTAGAGTCAGTATGTCAGCGTGTGAGCTATTAACATGTTCATCCACACAAGACGAATTCATATCCCGTGCTACACTGGCTGGTTACAGCAGGCAGAGGGAGCAAAATGTTGGCTTTTCAATGATTCAGATTACATGACGATTATGGTCAGATATCACAAGTAAACTTCAGCACATGACATCTGACATTTAAGGGCACTGAACAAAACCTGTTGTGCAGGAAGTGGTAAAGAGCCTTCGCTACCACTTCCACATGCAGCTGTATGTGAACAGGCCTTCCCATATAAAGACACATATTTAACACACATTCGTACAAAACTACACCCTCCTACAAATTCCACAGAGTTCTTTTTCAAACATTTTTTTGAGTCTTTTTTGATAAACATGTTTAAAGAACAGATGTGATCTCACTGCTCCTTCACCCAGACCTGTGACCTTTAACGCACCATTTAAAAAAAAAATAGATGAATGAGGGGTCGGTCTTCCCCCGCATTCCTGTTCTTACTGTAAAAGCGGCTCAGAATACATGATTTACACTACCCACTGTGGTGGGACTAGAAAGTAGATAAAAAACACACATACATGTGATGTATAGTGCTCATTAAGGCTCAGCCCCCGTCACACACACACAAACACACACACACACACACACGCACACACACACACACACCGTGAAATGCATAATTCAGCTGAAGGGAACTCTGACTGCAGTGATGACTGAAGGGTGTCTTCCCACCCCTGAGAAATGAGTCAGAGACAGCACCACCTGACTCAACGGATGGCGTTGGGACAGTGCTGCAGTTCACTGCCAATCAGAATGACTTCCTGTCTGCTCACTTTTTCACACACACACGCACACACACACACACACCCACATGTACAGAGTCACAGACACTGACAGAGTGAGGCTGATAACATATCTGAGGCTGTGGGAAAATTGACTTCCTCATTCATCTGTTATTTTGAGTACACACAGTATTTTCTTCACTACTACTTTACTAAAGGGAATCATATGAGCCTGCAATGTGGGGTGAAAGATGCATGACTTTCAAAACTAACAAAAAATGAATGCAATTTATGGTGGTGTAAATGGGTTGATGTAAACAAGCTGCTAACAGCCAATAATTAAGAATTACTCAGATCATGAGTCAGACTCTCCTTCCCCCAGAAAACTTTTGCCTGACACCAAAAGTAAAGTCTAATTTTATTCTTGAAAGTATGTAAGTATATAATATATGAAAATGTTAACATTTTATTTATTGAATTAACTAATTAAACATTTTGTCTTTTATCACTTACCTCCGTTCTCCTGACTGGCCAATGCTTATTGCAAACTTATGTCCCTAGATGATCTGTAAATTGTGCTGATGATAGACCACAAATTTTACTTTTTGTCATATTGTCCCAAATTGTGTCACCTCGTGGACATGGAATAAATTACTTTTGCTTCTCCTTTTTTTTTTTTTTTTTTTTTTGTCATTGTGGTAATTATTTCTATGAAACAGGCCCGCTGAATTTGAACCTGACACGTAAATATGTAAATTATGTTTCAAACCCTTCTCTACACTGAGAGTAATAAAATTCTGGTGGGAAATAATGAATCATTTGACCGGCCCTAGAATTAGTAGTATGCAGAGTTTTAAAAACACTGTAATCAGACTAAAAAATATCCATTAAAAGTTAGTTTGGAGTTGCAGAATCCAAACTCCTGTTAGGGAACCCCTAAATTTCTATAAAAACTGAAGTGGACACAGTGTCCACAGAGACAGGCTGGACAGTCACAGCATAGTTTTTTATCATTAGGCTTCTGCTTATCATGAACAAACATATGCATTACTTCTGTACAGACCTAAAGTTGTGTGCATTGAAAAATTACAAAATGTTATGTTTCATCAAAGTCATCACATACTGTAGCTTCATGGTCTTAAACCTTTTGACACTCATGAATGCCAGTACATGCCTCTTATCATTTTTTCCCAAAATACTCAAATGTTCTCACTCTTAGTGTAGTTTCTAGATGATACCACCACAGACACACACACACACACACACACACACACACACACACACACACACACACACAAATACACAAATACAAATCAGACAGCATATCAGTGGTCATCTAGACATTTGTAAAGCTGCACTTCCACAGGATGACACATTTACACACAGTGATAAAACTATTGTTCATCTCTTCCACTGCCTGGTTTCTTGTCAAAAGCACACTTCCTTCACATACAGTGAATTCCCTTATGTTGCTTTCCCAAACGCTACCTGGGCTTGAATCCGCTTAAGCCAACTAAACTGAAGTTTTTTATTCAGACAGAAACTATCATCTGTAACTGAAAAACCACAACATGACAGATCCCCTCTGATATGTCAAAAAAAGGTACTGAGCCTTTACCACCGCAGGACTCCCTGCTTCATTTTTTTTTTTTTTTTACTCCAATGCGCAGATATTTCCTCTTTTGCTGTTGTCCCTTTTTGTTTCTCTGCGGTTCTGGTAATCTTGTTGGGGAATTAGAGCAGTTTAAGTGCTGGGAAATGTTGAGCATGATAGTAAAAATCAGTTGAAAGTTTTGAACTTAAGAAAACTCGCATCTGTGTGGAAGCTGAAGCAGTTACAATGTCAAAGTTAATTCTGGGATCCTGCCCTGTTGAGTACAAACAAAAGTCACCCGCTGTGCACTGCTGGTCTGAGAGTTAGACTTAATTACTGTGAATTGAAAACATAATCTGGCACAACTTCAAGTGGAAACTCTTGAGATATTTTAGCGTGGATTGCCAGATATGGTCGATGAGGATCGTATTGTCATTTTTACATTTCTGTTAATGCACAGGTTAAATAAAGAATATACAACATGTTTATTAGTGAGCTTTAGAGTTGGCATGATTTTCACTTTGAATAGAGTTACAGTTTTTATGTGAAGATAGGCTAACCTCAGTCCAACTGCCTTCGCCAACCAGTCACAATAGGGTCACAATCTCCCCAAGTGTTTTTGCAGAACATTGTGATGTCACAGTGAAGTTGACCTTTGACATTTTGGATATAAAATGTCATCATTGATGGCCAGAAACATGTTTTGTGAGGTCACAGTGACCTTTGACCTTTGGCCGCCAAGTTCATCTTGAGTCCAAGTTAACGTCACTTACTGAGCTGTCATGTTCATTAGAATGATATGGACGGCATAGGAACTATGAACTATTCCTTTAAAAAGCATAGGAATTTCATACAGGCAGTAGACATAACCTCCAAAACACCAAAACATTCAATTAAAAAGGAAATAATTTACTCAAAAAATACATTATATTTTTTAATTTGTTACTAATCTCAGTGATTATAAAAAAAATTACATGGGCTGATTATTTCTAGATTTTTTTGATACAATTAAAACTAGAAAAAAAATAGCAGCAAGAGTGAAAAAACTGAATTCATGTTTGAATGTGTTGCTGTAACAAAGAATTAATGTTAATTAATGCGTCATCATACACTTTATTTTCCACATTACAGTACATATCCTACAGTCCATATTGTATTGTTCCATATTACAGTACAGCTGTTGTATCTGAACAGTTCTGATGGGAAGATCAATAACAAAAGCACCAGCCAGACAGGCAGAACAACACAAACACACACACAGATCAGATAATTTCCATGTTGGGTGTCATAGCAACAGAACACAAACAACTAAGCCATGTCCCAAAACAAACAAATAAGCCTATTGTCAAAAAGGCCAACATCAACAAAATCCACCATGTTTAGTTCCTCTGATACAAATACAGTAGTCTGGCCTGTTCCACTACTGTGGACACAAGTCACCTACTAACATAATAATAAAAATTATCTCAGTGGGTCATCAAAATATTTCTGAGACACCAGACACACGCAGATATCACTACAGAGATCACTGATTGGTTAAAATAGGTCAATAAGTTCAAAATATTTCAGAAACACCTGATGCAATTTTGATTAAACCTGGATTAGCGGCAAATTTTGGCACTGGTCTTTGTTCTGTTCTCTGACATTATAAATAATGGTTCACGTTTCAAACTTTTAAGACCATCATTGCCACAGCACTGGCACAAAATCCAAATTGAGATTAAACTTGAAGGCACTGAGTACATTGCTAGAGACTGACCGTGACAGTTGATGTGTTTATTTACTTGCTTTGTCAGCGTATGAAAAGAGAGGCAGAGGAGGGGGGAACTGTGCTCAACCAGCTCTAAATATAGACAGACTCCATAACCTACTAACACCACTGAGCAGTTAGCTGGAATAGAGGAGGCCGCTGAGAAAGAGAGAGTGCAGCTGGTTACAAAAGCCTTACTGTGCATAAACACACACACACACACACACACACACACACACACACACACACACACACACACACACACACACACGCACACTCCAATCTCTCTCAGAAAGAGAATGAGATGGTTGAGAATAAAGGGATGAAGCAGGGGGTGCTGGAGGCAGATGTAGTGGTAGTAATAATACTAACAGTACTACTACTATGATGAATGCAATATTTGTCGCTCAAATGAATGATTGTAAAAACTAGCTAACTAACTAAACTTATAAAAACTATCTAAATAAAAACTGACAAAAACTTTTTGTTTTTGTTTTTGTTTGGTTTTGTGTCAGGTTTTGTCCAGTAGAATCCATAACTGTGGAACATAGTTCACTATCTTATATGTAATTTTGCAAACATTTGCCATATTGTGATGAGCCCGTTTCAAACTTTATTTGAGTAGTAAGTCCTTAGAGTCAGTGACACTTGATTTGATATTGAAGTGTACTGAAGTTCTCGCGTCTTCTGTGAAGCAATCTGAGAGTAACCTGTTGATCGATAAATGTATATAATTATTATTAAATGAATGATAATATAAATTAAGTGTCATCCTACATGGATAATATCTCATTTTGTTACAAAAGCCACTTCTTTGTTGATGACCGCTGCAAAGCTGCATGTAGCATGCTTGGGAGCAAAACACTGATTTTACTGGCCAAGGTGAGACCACATCTGCAAATAATCCATGTCTCCTGACTCATAATTGGAAACCCGCTACAGGCACCTGTTTGTGAATTACCAGGCTCATGTGGAGCCCGGAGGGTTAAACAGACCAGCGAATGCTACAGTACAGATCATGCTAGCAAGCCACGAATTTCTGCCCTGAAATAGCGTGACAGCAGAGGCAGACTGGCAGCCTGCCAGACACCTAATTGGCCTCCAGGAGAGATGCAAACATCTAACTTCCCGCTATTGTTTCTCTCTTTCTCTCTCTCTCTCTCTTGTCTACATATTCCTGTTTGACTGCCAATACAGAGAACAGAAAAACTGTCCTTATTCTTATAAGAGATAAAGCGCGAGATGAAGAGAGGACAGGAAGTGTACGGAGCAGAATCTTACTTACACAGATCACAACCTGAACACCAACCACTTCAACTTCCGCTGTACGCTTCACTGAAAATATTTCCTCTTAAAAAGTGATGTTGGAAAGTAGAGAGACAAAGCTGGGAAGCAGTGAAAGGTATTAAAAATCAATTAGCCCTCCTCTATACACAGTGGCTGTGTCCCATTTCAGTGGCAGACTCCTCCAAAGTACATATTTTCATAATGGCATGAAAAATCTGCCAGATTCAAGTCGTCTTCTCTTATTTAGATGACAACCGGTATCCTTCACTCAAGGTGACTCTAAGGTGAACTCTCTGCCTCATTGGTGGAGATGCATGTTCAGCCTACAAACCAAAAGTCCCATGAAGGCCTTACCTTTGTCCACAGCCCCATGAAACTGGACAGAGAGAATGTCTCAAGGTGTTTCTCAGCGCCCTGTGTATTAATATCCAGTCACTCAAGTTGGGTTTGAAAACAAAATCAGTTCTCTGTTTTGATAGAACCGATTTCTCACAAACAGGACAAAAGAAAATGTATCCAAGCAGATGAGATGAGGCTCTTTGCTTAAATTTGCATGATTATCTCAGATAAGCTGGGGCCTTTGCTCAGCTGTTTCGACCTCCTTTTCACTACAGCCTATTGCATTGTTTGGTGTCCAGTTCTGTCCTGTAGTAACCTAAATACCCCCCCCCCCCAACACACACACACACACACACACACACACACACAGGTCTTTAAGTCCATCCCTGTTGCCTTCTACAAAGACTGTTGCTTCAGCTGGTGCGACTGGAGAACAGCAGGGCAGCTTCATTCCCAACAGCAACAACAGTGACCTTTACCAGCATGTGAACTCAAAGACCTCAGAGTTTAATTTGTGAAATGAAGAGCACATCACGCCATGAAAACTGAGTTATCTTTATCGTCCCTGCAGCAGCAGAAAATCTCTTGCATTTACAGCTGAGGCATTTAGCTGATTGGTGTCAGGATTCAAAGATGAAGGATTGTTGATGTGGACTCAAGATTCAGTCTTACAGTTCAGAGGAACACAGGAAGTAGACTTGGTTCTTTCACTGTAAATGAGATTGGAACGAATAAAGCAGTAGTAAATGTTTATGTTTATTGAAAGTAAAACAGTGTAAAACTGAAGGTGGCTTTCAACTAATTAACTAACTAACTAACTCTTAGCACACTGTTGTCATCACGTTCCACATTGAGGATACATGATAAGCAAGCAAGCTCTGTCCAGTGGTGAAGCTCATGAATGCAGTAGAAAGTCTTTCTCGACACTGCGAAGCATGTCCGCGAACTCCTCCTTCACTTTATAAACGGTTTAGTTTATAAACTGCTTTTTGTTGATGATTTCCCGGGATTTCACTTAAGATATCCAACCACACCATCTGTCGTCTGTTTGTCATGTTTTGAAATGTATAACGGAGAGACGGGATCGGTATTAGCTTACGTCGAAACCTCATCTACAGTGAGTTCTATCCCTATCAAGAAAGGAAGCAGCCTAATTCATCGGACAACACAGAATCAGGGTGGAGTGAAAATGTATGAAATACTGATGAATGGCTAAAAAAAAAAAAAAATGATGCAGCGTTAATCCATTTCCAGTTCAGAAGGAACATCAGTGGACGTACATTACACGCAGCTGGAAAGCCTGACAGATGTGAGGAGTCAGGCACTGCGCAGGGGGAACATAATACAAACTGTATCATATCTATTACAAAACATGTAGTGTACATACTGTGCATGAACAGCTGGGTTAAAAAAAAAAGCATTTGAACTTTTTGTACTAGAGGATATTTGAATGTACCTCAGCTGTGAAATAAGCTACAGTGAGATGCCTTATAGGCCCGTATGTCAAGGTTAAATATTTGAGCTATAAAATGGATCAAAACAAGCAAGCGATGTCGTTACATCTTAATGTATCAACCCAAATGTCTACATTTTTGGAATTAGCTGACGAAGGTTAATGTAGATGAGTTCAAGTAGGATTTATTAGTTTGAGGGACACAAATATGTGGCCGAATATAAACTCAGGTATAGTGAGGTGTAAAATTTATCCCAAATGATTTACTTTCACAATGATGCTTGACTTGAAGATGAATCACAAGGAGCAAAAATACATTTCCAGCTGTGCCCACTCACATAAAAACCTAAATGTGCTCCAGAGCTGGCAGTGTTTTGGTAAGGGAAAGAAATCTGACTGACTTAATACTGTACATGTTACATTAACATTTCCACATATGGCTCATTTGAAGTGTCTCTGAATACTCACTTCCCTACAGAGTTGGAGGAACACACCATCACAAATCTGACAATAGCACTTTACTCATACAATTAAAATGATGACATGAGTAAAACCTGTATAATTACTGAACATAAGAAACCCTGCTGCACCCAGCTTCCCCTCTGTATCACCTGTACACAAGGACATTTTCTCATCCTCTTTCAGGAAGTTTCCACTTAGCAAAGATTTTGGTGCAGCGTAATTGCTGCAAGCTATGCAGGGGATGAGGGCTTGTGAATGGGCCAGCTAGACTTCCTGTGACCTCTGAGGCTTACTGTGGAGGAAACGCAAGCCTCAAGTCCCGCCCCATCAGCCCATCCGAGGGCCGTCACTAATGATTAGAGTCCAGCGTGGGGAGATTACAGCCTATTAGCACAGAGACGGATGACCAGTAGTAACCTCACTACCACATTCTATTTAAAGACATTTTGCTCGGCTTTCTTTTATTCTTTAAATGCTTTCCCCCCTCTGTTTTACAGCTTCACTCACGTCAATGCATTGCATCTTTGTTTATTTCCATGCTTTTCTATTTTTAACCATCAATGCTTAATCATCCCTGCACAGCACCGACTCTAACTCACTCTCTTTTAACCACTCATCCTTATCTCTCTGCCCCACTCTTCCACTTAGACCACCATGCACCAGACAAAAACCACAACTTCTTCCTTTCACTGTCACTGAGGGATAACTGTACAAACACTTTGGCATACCGTAGACATGAAACAGCCATCCGCCCCCTGCTGAATTGAGATGCTGCACAACAGGTAATTGCAATTAACATTCAAAAAAGAAAACCAGATAATGATTCAGAACAAGCTGCAGAAACAAAGTAGCATTAGGGATGAGTTGAGCAGGAAGGATTGCAATATATGAAATAAAAAATGCACTTAAGTAAAATTAACAAAGGAAACATACAGAGCAAGCAAAAGCTGAAAAAAAAGCAAAACCAGGCATTGTAATTGTAATTGCACTGCAGAAGGGTTAAAGCAGCTGTGGTCTATACAGCAGCACTTACAAAGGCGTCGAAGGCAGCCAGGCAGTCGGTGAAGTGTGATCAGTGTCTGTGTATGTGTGTGTGTGTCTGTATGTAGTGTGCCAAGGGGCCTCGGGCGGATATCACATCGCCCTGTGCAAACTAGTGATTACCTTCCCATTGCCACTGGCCAGATTAAGCTGAGGCAAGCAAGAGGAAGGCAGTGAGATGCGTTTTGGCCTAGTTTGGGCCTTGCTGGCCTCCGTATCACACCACCCTCAGCTCAACAGACGCTGCGCTCTCTCTCACCACACCCACCCATCCCACCCCGCCCTCCCTCCACCACTCTCCCTCTCTCTCTCTCTTTCTCTGTGACTCCCTCCCTCCCCCCGTACTTAAACACGCCGTGCTCCTCTTCACCTTCACTAAATGATACAGACACTTATCCACGCTGGCAATAATGACACCAAGTATACATACACCTGTAGGTGCATATGTAAATAAACGCTCCTGGTATTGTTGATATTTCCATTTAAACAAATTACATACACCAGCACTAAATGAGGCTGGTCCCAGTTTGACTGACTATCAAAGTGAGAGGGAAGGCAGGTTCCACAACACAATTGTTTCAGAGGTATGAGGGGTTTTGTATTGGTACACCAAGGAAAGACAATACATATTACATCAAAATTATTTCACTTTGTTTTTGATTGTGCAACACTGAAAACCACTTTTGTTAAATTGTTCAACATTGTGCATGCATCCCGTCATGGGTCTGTTTTGCGGGCATTGCTTCATTTTGAAGGATGTGAATCACAAAAGGCTGACAACCACCAAGCTAAATGCTAAATATTACAGCTTCCTGGTGAAAGGCTTCTTCCTTTTCCTCATTGTTACTTTTTGGGGAATGAAGAAAACGTTTTCCTTTTGATGAAATGGTGCAATCACACAGTGAGATTTTTTATGATTTAACAAGGCTCAAGGATTTTCTCATTTTCTTAGCAGGCTCGTGTAAATGTAGGAGGTTTTCATCCAAAAGGAGCAGGACTATAAACCAAACGAGGACAACAATGAACATTACTCAGAGAACCAATCTATAAGATAACTACTTGAGCATGCGAGCGGAAGGCAGACCTGGTTCAGCACTTTAGGCCGAGCCATTACTGCTCAGCATCCCACAATGTGAGGAAGAGGATGTACTGAATGCTGAAACAGCAATAAGCCACTCAGAGGGAAAGCTGCCATGTGGATCTGAGAGACTGGCTGATATCACTGACTATATCAGGAATAAGACTTAAGTGTAGTATAGCTTTGATCAAATCAAATCACCACTCTTCACATCTGAGTTCTACCAACACACAACCACATTTGCCTCCTAACACTCAGACAGACACTACAGACATTCATTACAGAGCAGGGAAGACTAAACACTCAACACCATCATGTCAGATTGTGCAGTCATACATTTTCACAACTCCCCTTCACTCTGGTTACAGTTTCTATTCAATTAAAATGGAGTACCATTCAAAAAGTTGTGACAAGACAATGACAAGACATCATACTTAAGAGCCATACAGTTCGTCTGGTGGGCGTGGAGCTACCATACTTAAACACTAAAATGTTATTGGTTGTTTTTTTGCCAAAGGGCTGGGCAAAGCCACGACCATCCTTTTAATTAAATATTGAGGAAGGGAAAAGAATAGGTTTACACGCTGTGTAGGGCTGCACTAGATGGTGATTAAAATGAATTATTAATTCTGAGGAGCAGCAGGATGTTGGGATGTGAAGCTGGGTTAAAGGTGTCATGAGTCTCCCCCAAGGGGCCCCTTTCTGGCCTCACTAGTGTTTATTTTCAGCCAAAAAATTCGGTCTGTTTTAAACAAATTTGGCTGCATCACTTATTAAATATGCAACACATGCAACCCTGTAACAGAAAATTTTAATATTAATGCACCAACCAAAACCCCAGCTGTTACTGGTTGCTTGTCACTTAGCAACCATGTGGTGCAACTGCTGCTGAAGACCTAGGCTATAGGCTACTCTTTTGGAATAAGCAATTAAACCAAGGCCTATTTACCAAGAAAACCTAGCCTTGCATGTAATCTACCACCAGATTAATTTCAAAAACTGAACATTTATAATGTTTCTTTGTTGCATTAAAAAAAACACCCAATATTGCGCTTTACAACGCCTCTAATCTGGACTTTAACTTAACTACTGTGAAACACAGCCTTAAAAGGATCAGTTTCGACGCCCCTGAAATCGCTCAGTAAACCGGGGTGGGGGTGGTGTCGCTTACAGCGGAGCATGCTGTGCTCTCTATTTTGCCGGTAGGCCGCAGGATTTCAGCACCCCCTCTCTCTTGGACAGCTCCGTCCAATCAACTGCGGTCATTTGAAGCGCGTCATCCTTCCTCATCCTCCTCATCCTCCCTCCCTCCATCACTGAGGCATGGCGGAGGACATCACAGACAAAATGCTGAGTTTAACAACCGGCTTACTGGCAAACCGATGAGTTACATTTTGACAAAAAATATGGGGGATTGATGTTTGTGCAGCTTATTATAGGCAGAAACAAGTGATGCAAGAGGAGTTTTAGAGAGACAGGCTGTGGTGAGATGTACGCAAATAGGGGTTTTAAATGACGTGTGTCCGGTTTCTACGCACAATGTCACACGACCTTAGCACCAGGCCGGCCTGAAATGCACACGTTTCTATGCCTTTTGGCTGGTAGTGGGAACAGTGCTTTCGTTAATGGCTGGATTTTTAACGTAAAACACACACTCCGAGAGGAAAAATCCAATCACTGATCTGCAGACTGACCCACATGAATTCAGCCGCATGGCAGCCTGTGCACCACCTGAGTAGAGGTAAACCCCACCTGAAAGCATCCCTTGATGTCGTTCCAATAAACCCAGCTCTGAGGCAAAAATTCAGGCACTGTGGCTGAAGCTGCAGCCCGCCACACCGAGATGTAACACGCTTGATTCGGGGTTGAGTCTCATCAGGTACACGTGTAGTCTGAGGAAAATGAAAGATGTCACCGGTGTCATAACGGTGCAGACATGGCGCCAACTGCAGCAATAGCTTGCAGATTAAACACTCGGTAATAGAGGGGAAAAAAAGGCGGAAATACCAGCTTTGATAAATGAAAATGCCGGCAATGAATGACCAACAATGCGCCTCAGTCCCTGCGAGACAGGTACATCGCCGTTAGCCACAGCCCAGCGATGCTAAATCATTAAAATGAATGAAAAATCACCAACAGAATTTCTGCAACTCACCTAAAATAATCCAGAGCGACCCAGAGACCAGAACGAATGCGAGCATGTCTTTCTCATTGAGTCAGCTGTCCCGGTGCAGGAGCGGCTCAGAACTGCAGCATCGACTGCAGCAAGTCGCCGGCAATCTGGGAGATTAAGGAAGGGGGGGCGACAATATATCTGAGACACACCACAGTGGGAGAGCAGAGCAGGGGATGGCGATGTCCAGCGGGTTTTACAGCTTGTGCAGCTTTCGGAGTGTGTTGACTGAGGAAACAGACCCCGACGGCCTAATGAAGCATCTTTCCTCCTGCTGGATTTTCCACCTTCACCTAGTTGGCTGCTGCGCAATGGCAGACACCCCTGCTGAAATTAAAGGGTTTATAGGTCGAACAGGAGATGCGATCGACGCCAAGGTTACAGGGGATGAATTGTGTCTTCTGGTTGCTAACCTACAAACTCAGTCTTCTTTTTATTCTCATATTTATTATAAAATGCTCATGAAATTCTCTGAAGTTAGACCTGAAATCCATGATATAATTTGGGCATTCAAATTCATATTTTTATATAAAACTCGCACGTGTAACCTAGGCTAAACTGATAGTGAGTAAAGCATGTCTATGGGTATTTTCATGATTTTTTTTTTTTTAAATACTGATTTATTTCAAGAGAGCCTTTGGTACATCACGCCATGTAGCCACGTCCCTGCAGCTGAGCACAGCTTTGACACAGAGTAACTTTGCATCACGGTCACGTGGTACAATAAGACACTCCCAATGAACTAAAGTAACCTTGAGAAAGGCTAACAAAGTGAGGGAGGGGATGAGGGAGTGACAACAAGGATGAGACACAGAGAGATGACAAGATATTTGAATGCATTTTAAAATTACAGCATATTTTGGTCATTTGTGAGGCAGGGAAATCACTGTGTGCTACACTGGTATGTCTGCAGTTGAATTTAGAGTGATTACATTTTCCATCGTGCATCGGTCTGGACTGCCTACACTGAATGCTATTTGACCTTGCAAAACATAATTTCATCCAGTATCTATGCTTATTTAATAAAACATTCAGTTGCACCTTTAATACCTCATGATGCAACAACAAGCAGGTTTGTCCGAATATCTAATATTTAAAACATGACTTAAGTCATTTCGATCTATCTGTCCTAACTATTAAGTAAAACTCATTTAAGTATCCCTAGTAGTGGCCAGCATGTTTACTGTCTTATTGTGCCGCTGTCATGTTACTGACCTTATATGGGTCACTTGTCAGGACATTTAATCTGTCACTTGCAGCTGTGCCACCTTCCAACTGTCTGCTCCTCTTCTTCTTCTGTGAAACCACTGCAGAGAGAAACTAGAAAACATCCCTATATCCAGGAGCACATTTTGCCATGATGACACACACACACACACACACACACACACACACACGCTGGAAGAATTACAAATTAAAACCTGACAATGACTTTTAATCTCAATGTAGTTTGTAAATCTGATCCAATTTACCTGTGATCTGCCAGAGGGACAACAGGAGAGTGAATGTGAGAGGTTTTAGGTGAGGTACTGAACTGAACGCACTGACATTGATTACTTAGTTTATTTATTTTGTAATGTGATCAAAGTACACACAAAAGAAAAAAAAGCTGCTGAGTAAAAAAACCCTGCTCAGTATGTAAGACATTACTTACTAGGAATCTCAAATATTATTATATTGCCACAGATATGGGAGGTTGGGGTAAAGGTCAGGGGTCAACAGGGATAAATAACAGAGATTAACTTTCCATATCCCTCCTCTGACAGGATGGTAATAAATTGAAGATTCTTAATGTTTTAGGGCCAAAATGTAATTTTGTTGTATAAAACATGGGTGGGTCTTTGTCCATTAAAAACCTATATTTTATGGGCAAGTCAAAGAAATTCAAACTAATTCAATTCAACATTTTTTGACGTATAAATTAGTCTTTTGAAAAGTTTTGCATAAAAAACCTGAAGAATAGCTGAAACTCAGTAGTATCACTCTTGATTTTATAATACAACAAGACCAGAGTGTGCAGTCATGCTTGCGGCTCTGTGAGACTAGACACAGCGGTGCTTTGAGATATGGTAAGTTCTAGTGTCAGAATACTAACATGCACACAAGGTAAAATTTGCTAATTAGCATGAAACACAAAGTACAGCTGAGGTTGATGTGAATGTCATTTGTCATTAGTTTTACAGGTATTTGGTCATAAACTAACTGGACGAATAAACGAATAAAATTTTATGGCAATCCATTCAATAGATAATGAGAGACTCAAAACCATTAAAGGAGCATTGAAGTTTTGCTATTGCTACATAGCCCACATTAGCATTAACAGCTGTTTATTTACCAGTACTGCTGAAAGCTTCAGCCATCATTACATTTAAAATACAAGCAGTTATAATACACCTTCTGAGCCGTGCTACTTCTTCAAAGCAGAATGGATGCTACAGTGACTCGGCCCTGGAAAGTAACAAGACAGTCTAGCCCTCCTGATGCTAGCTGGTTAGTATGCTAACTTCAGTAGAAGAAAAGAGAAAAAGAAATCAAAAGAAATAGAGGCAAAACAAGAGTTAACATTGGTGTTGCTCTCCACCCCTGGATACAGCTCTTGTTGAGTAAAGGAATGAAGTTTGATGTGGGTGCTTATCCTCTGGGCACCATCAGATTGTGTGTACAAAATTTCATGGCAATACATCAAACAGTTGTTGAGATATTTCCCAAAGTGGTAAATTGACTGGCCCTGGAAAGTATCAAAAATATCAAAGTGAAGGTACCAAATGGTAATGTTACAATACTTATGGTTATAATTAGAAGTTCACAAAGTCTATAGGCAATAAACCAGACATTAAATAAAATTTCAGAAAACAACTGAAAATTATGAAAATTAGAGGCATTAAAGGCGACAGAGCAAGATAAACACTGACAGACTATAAAAGGAATGGAAAATTTATTCATTGTAAAAAAAAAAAAGACTCATATATATCTGTCTACCTTCGCTGTCTTTATCTTCCTGTATGTTTAAGAACTTTTTACAGCATTGGAGATAAGATGATACACGCACCACAAGCATGACAACATTTTGCCCCAGTGACCCTCTCACCGGAAGGGTAACATCTTTACTGTTGTACTCTTTATCATTACCCATGTTTTCATATCAACTCAGATAACTAACTTAATTCCTTCCAATGAACCAATCAAATGTGACACTTTTACATAATGTAACTTCAGTCTAATTTAAGGCTACTTTTCAGATTTCTCTTATTTCATTATTTCAGAGGTTTAGTAGTCATTAGCAGTTCCACCAAATAGTGATTTCCCACTTTATATGGTTTCATTTAAACTCTGCGAGGCCTAAAGAAGTGAATATTTGACAAAAAAAGCAAAGATTCGAGAAAAATCTGAAAAATGTAGCCAAATGTAATATGTAACAGAACTTCTCTCATTCATCATCCCACAACCCCTCAGATCTGTCGTGTTAAAAATTCTGTTTACACATTGATGCATCAGTATTAATAATGTGATTTATTATGATTCACTCTAATTGGCCTGAGGGCTGAAGTCACTTATGGAGAGTGGACATGTTTACCCATGTATTAAATTTGAATCATATTGCTGAACTTGTTGCAGTAACATATTTTTAGCACTCTGTCACATCAGTTGTTTGTTTTGCCTTCACCTTGCTTTATCTCCCACCTTTCCTCCTCCACAACCCAGCTCCACCTAGATCAGTGTACACTCCTTTTTTCCACATCCACCCCCCCCTTCCTTTCATTCCAACAGAGTCATAGAGAAACCAAAACTTAGGGAAAAAACTTTAAATGCTTTCATGGGACATTATGGGACAATGGACTTTGATGCAGGAGGGGATTGATTCTTCTTTTCTCATTTCATCACATTTGATGTTTTTATACCAGTAATTCTGTATGTCATGGGTCAGTCATTTTCAAATAATTCCCAATATGTTTCCTGGAAATAACTATGTTTTAAACTATGTATTTAGTATTAATTATAGAGGAAATAAGCAATACTACTACTACAGTTAAAGTTCACTTCCAAGTAATGAATTCCAATTAACTGCTAACAGGTACAAATGAAGTTTTTCTTTCATGGACTTTCTTAGTTTTTACCATAATTAGAACCAGATTTCACAGCTTTGGTTCCAGGACTGAATTAAAAAGATACACATAAAACAACTTTCAACAGTTGATAGTAAGCCCTACAGCCAGTATCAGAGACGTAAACACAAACTGAGACGTTTGTGCTACAACCTGAGGGCTACATGCCCAATATATGTAACACAAATGTGTCAAAACTGAACAAATATCCCTCTATATATTAGGAAATTTAGATCACTGGGGTACAATATGTTATGAGTAGATATTCTAATTTACACACTCCCACTCCCCCACCATCCCACCCTACATGAGGTTGCAGTGTAATCACAGGCTAACTAACAAGGGCTTTGACTTGATCCAGTGTCAGTGAGCTGTCAAAGCAGATGGTCCAGGGGAAGATTGGATGCTCAAGCAGCTTGCCTCATGCCAAAGCCTCAAATTACTGTCTTATCCTTGCAGGTGGCCTAAATAATCAGAATTACTATCACTGTATGCACAGAGTGTGAAAATTTGTAAAGGAATTTGTCATGGTGGGTTTGAAAACAAGTTAGATGCAGTTTAGCAAGGACAGTGCAAAGTAAACCATCAATGGTGTTATATCCCAGGATGAGGTGAGGTAGTAAATAAAGTAGGTTTAAGCCGAAACTTGGAAATGGTGCACAGGCTTGTTATATGTTACTGTGCAGTTATAGAGGATAGTCACAGAGGAATGACTGAGTGGGCCCACAGAGCATAGGCTCAGGAGCCCAAGGGGTCACGGGCCGCTGGACCAGAACCTCTGTATGACAACAAGAAGTGGTTAGAAAGAGTAGAAGATATGCAGTATACAATAAGGAAAAGGTAACTTACAAAATCAATGATAACAAAAAGAAGCTTGAAAAAATATGGTCCCTCTTCAAATGAAGCAAAGGTAGTTGACTAATTATACTTAATACAAATGAAAATGTCAATGAAACATCAGATGGATCATGTTTGAGAAGATAATTCAAGTAGTATACATGAAACTGTAACATAAAACAAACATGAAATGCATCATACATATGTATATGTATGTTGGTACTTGGGTACTTATATATATATATATATATATATATACAGTATAGTTGTATGGTATGGAGATACACATCATGATCAGTAACAACTATACTGTTGCTCACCCTATTGCTTTATGTATGCACAGTGTTCTGGATTGGGGTGACAAAAAAAGAAACAGTTATGAGGTTAAGTTTGTGTCACAAAGTTTAAATAACAAGAAATGTATAACGTTTCATTGACATTAACTGACTCAATAAAGTATAAAAAAAAGAACCTCTGTATGAAGTGTTTCTAATAGCTCTTGTCGAAAAGTCGATCAAACGAGTCAAGGGGGGCCTTTTACATGTATGTGCCCAGGTACCCGTTGTCTCATAGTCTGTCCAAGAGAATAGCTACAATACAAAGTGTATTGTTTGAATATTTTCAAAGGTTTGAAAGGCAAAAACTATTTAGTACAGAGAACATGAATTATTAGAGAGAGGTCGTGAAAATGGACACAGTCTTGTTCAGAGGAAATGTCTTTTCAAGTCTCTCCTATCTGATTAATAATCTTATGACCCCCTCAGATTAATCTTGTGACACATTTCACCTGTCCTGACCTCCAGCTTGGCAACCATAAAATGCACAGAAAAGGTAAGAGTCTTTAAAAAAAAAAAAGAACCCCATTGTATTAGTACTGATCACACTCACTGCAAACAAACACACCTAAACAGCTAAATCAAGAACAACTCCAGCACAGTCACACCTGTTTTGCCTCAGTCACTGAATTCCTATAATTCACTCTCACAGTGTTATCATCCATCAACAAGTCTGTTTGACAGCTTCAAGTGTTCAAACACGGCGCTAACAGGTCAGAAAAACGGGATGATTTTCCCCTACTAATCCAGAATTGTTCTTTCATTGGGAAATCCCATCGTCAGGGTGCCTGTGTACACTCCGCAGGAAAACTCCCTGCTATTCCCTCCCAGAGACGCGCGCGCCCGAGCCTCAGCGAGCGCGCAATCACACCACGCGGTATGCCCCTATATGGACACTGAAAGCTCCGGTAACTGCTGCAACACCAGTGTGGGATTTCCCACATTCCCATGAAGAAAGCAAACCATGTGTGTGCTCCTATGTTGTTATATAATATGACCGCCGCAGGATTTATTGGTCGTTGTTAAGTTGTAAAAATTGAAAAGCATCAGAATTCAAAGCCCAATAAAATATAATGAAAATATGAAATCTTTGAATTTAGATCATTTCCTGTCATTTTCAGTCACTTCCTTGCAGTTTTATGCACGCACTGATTTACTTTTATGCATTTCATGAGCTCTGAATAATAATGCGTATAAAAGGCTTTGCATCCTGTTACAGAGACGACACTGCTGGTGCTTCCGTGTAGTCTACCACTGCTCCTTTACTCCACATGGCCCACATTCAACTGGCACGAAAAAGCCTGATCCACACTGCCCCTACCGGTGACTGAAATTACTACACCATTTCTTGTAAATGCCTGGTTTCTCTGCTGGGTTGCTGTTTATACTAAAGGGCTGGTCCTCTGCACATGTTTATCATGCCAGATTGTAGGATGAAGGAGCGTGATCGTGTGTGTGTGTGTGTGTGTGTGTGTGTGTGTGTGTCTGTGTGTGTGTGAGTCATCATTCACTTGAAGTTTATGATGTTAGTTTATTGCATATTCTTTTTATAATAAGATACACATTGCAAAATCTCAAAACCACAGAATATTACAGATTCTATCACTACTAGTAAAAAATAAAAAAAAATATTAGCCTATCATTAATATTACTGCAGTTATACTCATAATCGTATACAGCCTACTGTATATGATGAAACATATAACAATGACACCACAAGCTGTCATGCTTTAGCATTTCATTGTGCTTTGTGTAAATATCACAGCAAAACAAAATTTACAGTGTATGACTTTAGCTGCAAATACTTGTACTCGTTTGAATTACGCAGTCCAGCTGCAAAGTGTGCAGAACTGCTGCATGCTAAATATATAAAAAAAAATACCGCGAGGGTCCAAAACGAGAGAGGTCACAGTGTCGTCTACGTGCAGCGAGTCTCCGTAATCAGCCCTTGTTGTTATTGACTTCCTTCTAGCTCTCAACAGCGTGATTTCTCGGAAATTCAGCTACCGCTGTAAGGGAGGATCAACAGCGCATGCGCTAACATGCTGTAAAAAAACAACAACAACATCCATCTTGACTTTATCAATATATTTAATAATTAAGTGAGTTTTCAAATCACACTTTTTTGTTAGACAGAGGGGGGCTGCTCTGCAAATATGCAGAGATGAGATGAGATGTTTACGGTGCAAATCACTTTAGTTGAAAAGTGTTTATACTGCTGATCTCAGAGTATTCATGTGGTTGTTAACTGTAGTTAACTGTTTTCTTCACCTCTGTACACAACATGCACACTTCATTTACAAAAGGCATGGCATGAATGAACTTGTAGAGATAGAAACCTGAAAAGCTCTCAAAATATTATAATAATATAATTTTAAATGGTCTATGAAAAACTGACTTGTTTTTCGGTATGGACATTTTTTACAGTGTGCACTGCCTCCTTTGGCCAGCCGGGGAAAACCCGCTGGAGACTATAAATTCACTGCTGCTCACCGTTTGTGATCACTTCTGTCCCAGACTGATCTTCAGGTGGTTGAGAGAAAGAAGAGATATTTCTCTGGAACAAACCAAATCCAGTCGGACTATTTTTGTGCATTTTCCTTTTGCGGATCACTGAGCAAATAAAGCCTGTAAGTGTTCTGATTAAGCAATTCATTCATTACTTTTAGTTGCATAGAATGTCTTATATTTAAATATTTTTTTATTGCCGGGAGTTGCTTATTTAGAATAGATAGCCTATTCTAAACCTTGCATTAATGCACAAAGATTCCTGAAATGTCTTATGCAGCAATGCTTTTAAGTTTGTGTAATTTAACTGTTTGTTATAGTGACCAAAGTTGATGAAACAAGAGATGAAGTGACTTTTTAGAACATGTGTGTACTGTATGCACGCAGCAGTGCAGCAGGAGGCGTGCGCTCCCGCCCGAGTACAGAGGACCTTTTGGCGCACGTCTCCAAATGCCTCTTGCTTGGATGATATCAATTTGCACGGAAATTTATTTTAAATTTTTGGACTGCAAACTTAGTTCACGTAGCTTACATTTGAACATGTTGAAACCCTTGATTTTTTTTTTTTTTTTAATTTTGAAGTGAGACCTTCATAAGTGAGGTTGACTCATACAGTTAAGCGCTACCGCCTCCACACGCCCTCTTGCGTGCCCTGGCCGTGAACTCCTCTCACACTTCTGCGAGGCCTGCAGGCAGCTATAAATCTAAAAGCGGAGGCAGATGTGGGAGTCCATTTACTCTCACTACTACATATCACACACAGCATTCCTCGTTTGTCTAAATGCTTTACTGTTGCTGCATATTTTAGGCAAACATGCCTGTGTCAAGGATGAGGATGAGGCCGTGGCTGGAGAAGATGATCGAGTCCAACTCCATCTCGGGTCTGCATTGGGTGGACAAGGTGAGAGGCTCATTTCCTCCCGCAAAACATTAGATGGAGTCATTTTAAAAGCATTTACTAAAACATATGGTCAGCATATTGAAATAAGCAGAGGAATAGACATTTTCAAATATATTTCTAGTAGGGACGGAATAACTTCTCAGCAAGTAGAGAGGGAAGTGATATCTGCAAGGCTGCACGTGTTTTTCTTTCTTTTCTTTTTTTTTTTATATTTATTTGTCCTCTAACTAAACACTAGATATTTGCACGTTACAGTGACTTGATTGAAGCGCCAGTTGGGATGAATTTTGGTGTTGTAAAGAAAAAAAACAAACAATAAAGTGATATATAAGGCAGTAAAATGGTGAGCAATGACAACCTTTTAAATTAAACACCCTCTGGCACTACAAACAGGTGAATATAGACACCAGGAGTTAGTCATAACCCAAGTTTGGTGTTTAGTTCACAGATATCACCATGTATTCTATCACTCCTCCCTACCTGACATTTTGTGGTTCAAACTAAAAAAAAAACTGACAAAAGCTTGTTTGGTGTGTGTGTTTTTCTACTATGACTGCGCTGTGCAAAAAAAATATTTTAACATAATTTAAAGCCATGCTAAAGAACACTGCTAACAGTGGCATACGAGTTAGATGGTCAGCCTCTTGCAATATTTCAAAGTTTGTGCATGTTTTAATTGATTCTATGTTGAATGTGTGGCCAACCTCGTTCCAACTCAGTATGTCCTTTTGTATTTACCAGGATAAGACGATGTTCTCAATTCCCTGGAAGCATGCAGCTCGACATGGCTGGGAGATGGACAAGGATGCATGTCTGTTCAAACAATGGGCCATCCACACAGGTGAGCAGTGCGAAGACTCGTGCACACCAACTGCAAAATAAAAAAGCAGCAAATTATGCTCTGTCCGGGAGGAAAAAACTTAACAAAAGTCATTCTGCAGGGAAATACGCAGAGGGCCAGGACAGTGACCCGAAGACGTGGAAGGCCAACTTCCGCTGTGCAATGAACTCACTGCCTGACATTGAAGAGGTGAAAGACAAGAGCATCAACAAGGGCCACCAAGCCATGCGCGTCTTCAGGATGCTGCCTGCCACTCCAAAATCTAGAGGTGAGGCAACTGACAGGAAATGAGCATGCTTTTTTTTTTTTTTTCATGAATTAGCACTTGGGTGCAACATCTGCTGGCTGCTGATCTTTTTTTTTTTTTTTTCCTTTTTCTATTTTACACATGAAGTCAGTTTCTTCTACAGTCAAACAATAAGCTGTTTAAGATGTCAAGTGACCAAAATGTTTTTCTTTCCCCTGCACAGACAAACGAAGCAAAGGAAAGGAAGCAAAGTTAAGGAAGAAGGTAAATACTGATATTATACGGTTGTGATATTGTGTAGATTGTATAGATGCCATGACACTTACTCATTCAAATTATGCCTATTCAAATTATGCTACATTGATGTAGATAATGTAATGGTCTTATCAAATTACATTATTGTAATGGCAAGACAAGCAACACATTGTACATTTCTTTGTTTTTGTTTCATCATTTGTATTTCCTAAATCTCACTGACTTTGGCTATTATTTGCTTCTGTAGAGCTCAATGGTCAAGATGGAGGAAGACTCGGACTACAGTGATACCCAGTCTCCCATGGATGCGTCACTGATGGATGAGACCGAGTCCACTCAGGAAAACACAGTCGACAGCACAGTGCAAACCGGGCAGGAAGGTGAGGAAGAAAACTGGGAGTAGTTGAAGAATACTCTTGAGAGCATTGTAATTTCCTGTGTGTGATAAGTGATAAATGCATGAGCACAAACAGCTCTGTCCGAAGCCGTCTTGAATTTGCCACTAAAAACTTGAGCAGGTGTATTCAATGCTATTCTTTACCACCCTTGCAGGTCTGAGGTGTGTGACTCCCTCTGAAGTGCCTGACTGGTCTCTTTCAGTTGAGATTGGGCCCGGCAGCCTCACAAACACCTGCTTCCAGAGGTTTGAAGTTTCACCTGATCGCAGCTTCGGTAAGACAACAACACATGTCACACTGGCTGATAAATGTTTCAGAACCAGTCTAAGTGAAATGAAGTAAATTCAAATGGTTGGATTGATATCACAGTGCTGTACTCATGTCGCCTCCCTCTTCTCTCCCTCTCTCTTCAATGTGATCTTCTAGACGGGAGCTTAGCCGACGACATAATCGAGGTAAGCATGGACTTCAGCTCCTACTCTTAATAGCATGCATTTTTCATTGACAGGAATGCCCATGTTTGTCTTATACTGCCTGTTTGGCTTGTGTAATAATCCCCAAAAACTATAAGATTGATTGTTAAAAACTAGTGTGGGAAATCTGAAATTGTGCAAAACGTAGCTGTACTCAGTCCAGTGTTGCTCTTTCAGATCTGCGAGCAACTGGAGAGAGACTCACACTGGATGTTTAGCAGTTTAGACGGCAGGGGGTTCCTGAGCAATGAAGCACACACCAGTCCTAGTGGGAGCCAGTGGAGTGATTCTTCCTCAGGTAAATGTTGCTAGTTGGTTGGGCAGATGGACAACTTTCATCTAAATGAATATGACAAATATTCCCTTAAGATTGTGACATGAAGTTCATATGGCATCTAAATGAAGGCCATCCATCTGCTGCTTCAACATTACACTCCCTTGCTGGCAATTTAGGTGTTTGATGTAAATGTGTTCATGCAAGGGGTTTGTTCACCTAAAACACACTTGATAATCAGTGTCACTCACTCAGCCTACAAAATGAAATAAACATGGTTAGGTAGTCATGGAGCTATAGCTGAAATCAGTATGGAAATTGATATGAATCTTTTTCTTGAACATTCTGAAGTGCTTCTGTCTATGCGTGTAGTAAATGTAGTAAATGGCAGTCAGAAAGATGATAAAAGTATGCCGTGAGATATCTTGCCTTTATAGCAGCATTCATGACATCTTAAAGTCACTTTTTGAAAGTTAAGTCCCTCAAGTTAGACCACCTCTCCTATAGGCTACTTGTGGTTTAAGTTTGCATTCTCCTTCAACATCCTGACCTTGTCTTTCCTCTGTTTGTTTTACAGTCGATGGAGTAGAAGAATGTCCGTGTTACACAAATCTGGGTTCAGATTTCTTAACCCCCTCAAACGATACCTGGAACAGCTATAACAAAACATACTGCCTCTGAGGGCCTCAGGACAGGACAGGACAAGGCTTTTACACTTTGGACTTTAAAAGCTGTTCCTTTCTGCCCACCAATCACCCCCCATCCTTATCAACCATCAACACCCCTCCAGTCTGTGACAGGTGGCTTCCACACTTTAAGCTAAAATTCCACACCCGTCTCCCAACTGCATGTACCGTGTGTCTGACATTTGGTACCAGTTCGTGGAGCTTTCCTCATCTCCCTCAACCTCTATGTGAAGTTATGAAGAGAAGATTTGAAGTGCACTGCTGTTAAAAGACATGCTGTTCATTGTCTCTGTTTTTGGCTGGTTCAAGGCATTGTGGTGCTCAGCTTTTTGGGATGTTGAGCTGTGATTAGACATAAATCAGTTTTGCTCAGGCAAGGTATTTACATTTTCATACTAATCTATGAATACATGCAAGCTAGTAAGTACTTAACCTCATAAATACATTCAGTACACTTCACATTTGATAGAAAGATAATGTACAGTGTAAAATAATTCTCACATTAAATCATTTTCTTCTCCGTTATACATGTGAAATTTAGTTAAAGGATGACATTTTGTCTAATTACCCTCTTAACTCTCAACTTCTGTTAAAAGTTCCACTTCAGAATTTTTTTTCTGCTTATTGCAAGTTCAGAAAGTTTCTGTAAATAGCTGTTTTTGTCTGTGTGTTTTTTTATAAAATAAAAGAAGTCTATTGTTAAAATGTGAATTAATATGGCTCCTTATTATTATAACACTTTATGAGTGCAGAGATAGATGACTTTAAGTGCTGTGCTGTAATGAAATCAATGACTTTGACCCGACCACCAAGTGTCCCTCCCGTGACAATCTAAGGGTCTTATTGGAAAAAGTCAAGTAATCTTGGTCCAGATTTTCACAATATGCAGTATAGGATTATTTTAATAATCAACAAATCCTAAAACAACAGTCCTAAAAAGGTCATCAAATGTATTTAAATGACATATCTTAATGACATATCTCATTAATGTTTTATTTCTAACACTATAATATACAGGTTAAACTGGATTTAACTTTTTTTTTTCCCAATTTAAAGCAAAACATTTCGACTAGTTAAAAAACAAACAAACAATGTTTTTTTCCTCAAAAGGGGTGATTACCCAATTACAGTCTAAGTATAAATTATTCTGTATAAGAGCTGCAATAAATATAGTTATTGATTAACCATGTCATTTATTTTTTCTTCGTTATCTGGGGTTCCCCTATAATCCCCACGGACGCTGAGGTAATAGTGTCATTGCACAACATATACTAACTGTGAACTTTATTAGGAACAACATACTAAAAGGGAGGGCTTCCCCTTGCTCTCACAACAGCCTCAATTCTTTGTGGCATGGATTCCAGAAGATTCCTTTGAGATTCTGGTTCATGTTGATTTTATGGCATCAGGTAATCTCTGGATTTTTTCAGCTGCACATTCATGCTCCTGTAGTACCACATCGCAAAAGTGTCATCTTGGTTTCAGATCTGGTGACTGGGGAGGTCACCGAAGTACACTGAACTCATTGTCATGTTCATGAATCCACTTTGGCTTTGTGTCATGGGGCAACATCATGCTGGAAGTGGCCATCAGAAGACGGTAAATAGTGGCCATATAGGGAAGCACATGGTCAGCGACAACACTGAGACTGGCTGTGACATTTAAATGATGATGAATTGATTGCTATTAAAGGGGCCCAAAGTGTTACATCACTGCCATCAGCCTGGACTGTTGACACAAGGCAAGTGAGTGTCCAAGTATTTATGGTGCTGATGACAAATTCTGACCCTATCATCTGTGCGCCTCAGCAGAAAGCAAGATTCATCTGACCCGGCTACGTTTTTCCAGTCTTTAACTATCCAGTTTTGGTGAGCCTTTGCCTGCTGCCTCAGGTTTCAGTTCTTGGCTGACAGGTGTGGAGGCTGATGTGGTCTTCTGCTGTTGTAGCCCATCCATCCACCTCATTCTGAGATGCTTTTCTGCTCACCACAGTTGTAGAAAGTGGTTATCTGTAGCCTTTCTGTCAGCTCCAAACAGTCTGGCCATTCTCCTCTGACCTCTCTCATCAACAAGGCATTTCCGTCTGTTGATCTGCTGCTCACTTGATGTTTTTCTTTTTTTTTTTGGCACTGGGCTGAGACTGTTGTGTGTGAAAATCACAGGAGATGTTTAAGACTCAAACCAGTCTGACTGGCACCAACAACCACCCCATGGTCAAAATTTTTTTCTCATTCTGATGTTTGATGGGAACATTAACTGAAGCTTCTGACCTGTATCTGCATGATATTATGCGTTTCACTGCTGCCACATGATTGGCTCTCAGGGCTCTGTGGATGTACTGTAGCCATATGCATGCTGACATTACTCACAATCAGCATGGATAAATAAATAGCCTTAAGAAATGCAGAGGGTGTAAGGATTTATGCTCGGATCTTGATTGATTTGATAAATATGTCTGCATATCTTTAGCAGCTGCCATTTGAACTGGTAGAACACGCTGAACAGTGATGAGCTCCACTTGTTTCACTGTGTGAATCTTGTCAGATTGGCCCAAGGTTTTGTTGATGACTGTAAATCGCATTAGTAGATATGATCCAACAAAAACATGAAAACGTGATGATAACCAGGTGATGAAGGCTTATTATGCTGTTAAAACAAACTAACAATTTAAAAGCCTGGATTAAGTGTTGTGTGGGAACCATAGATACAGTTTACAGTATATCATGTGACTTCGGTGTGTTTTAAGAGAAAACCACACATTTCCTGTTAGGTCTTCAGATTAAAAGCAGAAGCTGCTGATTTATTTAGTGCAATTTTGAATTTCTGCCACAACACCAACTTTTTACCAAAGAAAACAATTGCAAATGTATGCAAATGTGAGACATGTACAGTACGCACTTCACTGCCACAGCTGCCTATCTCTCACACCTCCCTGTTATACATGCTCCTAAATCATCTCCATCTGCCCTCAGTGACTACTAACCGGTTGCCCTCACATCCCACATTAAAAAAAAAGTCCTGGAGAGACTGGTGTTGGTCCATCTCAGACCTCAAGTGAGCACCTCTGTAGACCCACTGCAGTTTGCATATGGCCCTCCGGTTGGAGTTGAAGACGGCATCCTCTGCCTGCTTCAACAAGCCCTCTCTCACCTGGACAAAGCAGACACCACTGTGAGAATCGTGTTCTTTGACTTCTCTAGTGCCTGTCCTGCTGAGAAAGAAGCTTCCGAATATGCAGGTGGACGCCTCAACAAACTCCTGGATGTGTGTCTGAACGTGTGGTCAGCAAGATAGGAGTAGAGCAGGGGACTTTCCTCTCACCTAATTTAAATTTTTATGAACTTCTTTCTCTTTATTTACCCCTTTTAGTTATTCTGCAGTATTGCACAAACTTTACAGGTGTGTAGTTGTAGAGTTGTGGAGATCAAAATGAAGTTCAAAGATGGGTGTGGTCAAACCGTTGAGTGTTAAGTTCCTATGTATTAATATAGTTATGACTACTGAGCACTCATGGGTTGGAACATGTCACGGCTGGTGTGAGCCCATCACAAGATGGTCTTAAGTTTAATTTATTTATTCTGTCTGTCTTGCAAAAGAGCTCTTGATCTCAATGAGATTATGTGATTAAATAAAGGCTAAATAGTAGAGTAAAATAAAACATAAGTTAAAACCAGTGGCATTTAACAATCAACAGAATCTAATGCCAATGATTACTTGCTGTTGAAAAGAACAGCTCAGTGTGCTTATACATTTCTCTGTATATTAAGAAAGTTGTATCACTTTTCCTCACACTGCTTTCTCTGTTACTTGTTACCTGTTAATACAGTGAGTCACCTTCATTTTCCTGAATGTCTTTCAACAACATTCAGGAAAAAAAATGCACGTCAGGGCAATAATTTGACGCTTTCAATAAAAACTTGACTATATGGACTCAACACCACAGTGCAGCTTGTAGCCACAGCCCTTTGTCCAAAACACAAAGAGCTGTTTTGCAGCTGCACACAGCCCTGGTCCATTAAGATTGTTGTCAGCAGAGAGATAGATATATCTGCCTCATATGCAACCCATTTCTGACAGTGTGGTTAATGAATATTAGTCGCATTTGTCTAAAAGTTGAAGTTACTTTACAAATTAAGATTGTAGATACAAACGGTTAACGCTCCATAGACAACTACAACAATTATTAATGCATCAATAATAATATTCCAAAAATCTAATACATAATAGCCAGGGCTGTAGCCAGGAAATTAAAATATTAAAGTCACAAGTCCAAGCCCCTGTGATGTGCCACCCCTCTACCTCAAATCTGTAAACGTTTCAATCATGTGGACTTTTGTTTTTTGTATTTTATCTGTTGAGTCAAGAGTGCCGTTACATTTTCATAACTTATAATTTCCCAACACTTAATACTGTGTCAAAGTCTCATATTCAAGTGGGTAAATTTTGTATCATTTATTAATTAATTGGTCTATAACTAATCAGAGTCTAAAAATACTGTAATCAGCCAATAAAATACTTAATACTTAATACATCCTCAGTTGTAGTACAATGATGATAACAGTCATAATCACAGGGCTTTTTTTTTTTTTTTTTTACTTTTTGATACATTTGAACAATACGAACTTAAATGTAATATAATATAGCGGGACAAAAACATTGAGTATTTTTGCAGTGTAGTATTACAAGATTTCTCTTTTTCCACCAGTGCAAACAACATTAAGTTATCAATAGCTGTTCATTTTACAGTATTGGCAGATTGTTTCTTAAAGACTAACTTGTACAAAAAAAGGGGACTGATTTGACTGTATTAAAAACTACAATTATCTTGACCATTTGAAATGCTTACTGGGCATTCATAACGCTCCAACATGCCACTGTTGCTATTGATGAAACATGCCTTTTAAGTGAGCTTTAACGGGTGTATTGAAAACCAGTGTATGTACTGGCCTGAATAGTCTTTTCTCTCTCCTTTGTGCTTGAACGAAGGAGTGAATCTAACACTTTGTCCAACCAGTTTGATGATGACTGATGCACTGATACTCAGACACTCACAACAAATTGAGTTTGTTAGTTTATTTTTGTTTTAATGTGAACATGACCTCCCACTCAATGACAAATTAGTCAAAAGTGAACATCTAACTTTTCTCTTAATCACTCACAAACATGTGGAGAGTATAGATTTCCAATTATAAAAAAAAAGAAAAATAATTAACACAAAAAAATGAAACTTTACTATGAATTGTACAGTTTTATTATAACATATGGAAAATAGCAGCATACAATGCGCTTCATTACTTATTATCATTTATTATGTATAACTTATTGTTATAGAGTCTTCGCGATGTAATTAGATGTTAGTGAACTTCTATCATAAAGCAAAAAAAACTGGCTGTATATGGTACGTTGATTTCTTTCTTTGATGTTTGCACTTTGAACATATGTTAACTTTAAAACAAGTCTGTTGAGTCGCTAACAAACAACAAATCAACCATTAACTAGACAAACAGAGGTCTGGTTGATGTCTGATTACTGTACCTTGATATGACAGCTGCACATGAATAACCCCTTTAGCTTTATAAGGTCATGTTTTTTTCTTACTACCATCAAGGTCAACAGCAGTCGTGTAAACATAGATTGTGTAAATTTTGTGTTAACTCTTTTTAAATATTAAAACAATATATCATGATAAATGAGCTCATTTCCTGAGATTG